TCTCAGCACGCACCACTCGCCCGCTGCCAGCACCGCCTCGCAGTTCCAACTTGGCACCGAGCGCGATCAGGAAGGGCAGCCAAAGCGCCCAAGCCCGGCCCGCTTGCCTGCTTGCCTGCCTGCCTGCGGCCCAGCGCCAACAACGCCCGACACCGCGCGTGGGCCACCCCATCTCTCTCTGCACCCTCGTCTTCGCCATCACCATCGTCACCATCACCCCATACCGCACCTCACCTCACCTCACCTCATCTCACCTCGCCACGCCACGTCGCCGTCGTCGCGCCGTCGCTCCGCATACACACATCGCTGCCCTCACGCGCCTCGATCCTCTCCAGCGACGAACCACTTTGACGACTTCTCCATCTTCCTGCGCCACTTCTCTCGTCTTTCTCTTTTCACTTCGCCTGGGCGTAGCCTGCACTCCTCTGATCAAGCTCCACCTCTTCATCGCTTCGACCCGCCGCGGCACCGTCTGACACCGAGCTTGGCACTGCGCTCGCGGACTTGGGTCCTTTCTCATCTCCGCCCCGCCGACCACCCGTCAGAAGAGCAGGTGGCTGCCATCTATCCTGCCGCCGATCCTTCTTCCTCTGCGGCAGCAACAGCTCGGCCACTCGTCCCCCTCCTCGCCGCCTCCGCCGCCGCAGCACGTCCCTCTCCAGCCATGGCGGAAAAGCCCATCAACTTCTCCGAGCATGTCCAGCTCACCAACCTGGGCATCTCGCCCGACAGCATCTCCTTTGCCAATGTCACCATGGAATCGGAGAACTTTGTCTGCGTGCGGGAAAGCATCAATGGAGCAAACTCGGTGGCCATCGTCGACCTCAACGACGTCAACAACGTGTGAGTGGCGAGCGCACGGCAGGCACGGCGAGGCGCGGCCGGTCTCCGGACGCGCCCCGGGGATCTTGCTTGGAGGAACCATCCCGCTGACTGACTGTCTCGGTGCTGCTCCACCACGGACCCCTCTTGGCATTCTCTCTTGCTCGTACGCAGCATGAGGCGGCCAATCACCGCCGACTCGGCCATCATGAACCCGGTGCAGAAGATCATTGCGCTCAAGTCGGCGAGGCAGCTGCAGATCTTCAACATCGAGGCCAAGGCCAAGGTCAAGTCGCACCTGATGAACGAGGACGTGACCTTTTGGAAGTGGATCAGCAACACGACGCTCGGCCTCGTCACCGAGACGGCCGTCTACCACTGGAGCATGGAGGGCGAGGCGGCGCCGTCCAAGGTGTTTGACCGCCACGTCAGCCTCCAGGGCAGCCAGATCATCAACTACCGCGCCAGCGCCGACGAAAAGTGGCTCGTGCTCGTCGGCATCTCGGGCAACACGTCGGGCGCCCCCAACGCCTTCCGCGTCAAGGGCTCGATGCAGCTCTACAGCCGCGACCGGGGCGTGTCGCAGCCCATCGAGGGCCACGCCGCCGCATTTGCCGAGCTGCGGTCCGACGCGGCGCCCAACCCGTTCAAGCTGTTCACGTTTGCCAACCGCACCGCCACAGGCGCCAAGCTGCACGTTGTCGAGATCGACCACCAGCAGGGCCAGGCGGCCTTCACCAAGAAGGCCGTCGACGTCTTTTTCCCGCCCGAGGCGACCAACGACTTCCCCGTCGCGATGCAGGTCAGCAAGCGCTACGGCATCGTCTACCTCGTCACCAAGTACGGCTTCATCCACCTCTACGACCTCGAGAGCGGCGCCTGCATCTACATGAACCGCATCTCGGGCGACACGATCTTTGTCACGGCCGAGCACGAGTCGAGCAGCGGCATCATCGGCATCAACCGCAAAGGCCAGGTGCTCTCGGTCTCGGTCGACGAGAACACGGTGATCCCCTACATCCTCCGCACCCTCAACAACTCGGAGCTGGCGTTCAAGCTGGCGTCGCGCGGCGACCTGCCGGGCGCCGACGACCTCTACCTGCAGCAGTTCCACTCGCTCTTCAGCACGGGCCAGTATGGCGAGGCGGCCAAGATCGCGGCCAACTCGCCGCGCGGCATCCTGCGCACCACGCAGACCATCGAGCAGTTCAAGCAGGTGCCCAACCAGCCGGGCACCCTGTCGCCCATCCTGCAATACTTTGGCATCCTGCTCGAGAAGGGCTCGCTCAACAAGTACGAGTCGCTCGAGCTAGCGCGGCCCGTGCTGGTCCAGGGCCGCAAGCACCTGCTGGAAAAGTGGCTCAAGGAGAGCAAGATCGAGTGCAGCGAGGAGCTCGGCGACATTGTCCGCCAGCACGACATGAACCTCGCCCTCAGCGTCTACCTCCGCGCCAACGTGCCCAACAAGGTTGTCGCCTGCTTTGCCGAGACGGGCCAGTTTGAGAAGATTGTCCTCTACGCCAAAAAGGTGGGCTACACGCCCGACTACGCGGCGCTGCTGCAGCACATCGTCCGCACCAACCCGGAGAAGGGCGCCGAGTTCGCCAGCAGCCTCGTCGGCGACGACTCTGGCCCGCTGGTCGACGTCGAGCGCGTCACCGACATCTTCATGAGCCAGAACATGATCCAGCAGGCCACCAGCTTCCTCCTCGACGCGCTCAAGGACAACAAGCCGGAGCAGGCGCACCTCCAGACGCGGCTGCTCGAGATGAACCTCGTCAACGCGCCCCAGGTCGCCGACGCCATCCTGGGCAACGAGATGTTCACCCACTACGACAAGCCGCGCATCGCCAACCTGTGCGAGAAGGCGGGCCTGCTGCAGCGCGCCCTCGAGCACTACGAGGACATCAACGACATCAAGCGCGTCGTCGTCCATTCGAACCTGCTCAACGCCGAGTGGCTGGTCAACTACTTTGGGAAGCTCACCGTCGAGCAGTCGCTCGAGTCGCTGCGCGAGATGCTCAAGGTCAACATCCGCCAGAATCTCCAGGTCGTCGTGCAGATCGCCACAAAGTACTCGGACCTCCTCGGCCCCGTCAAGCTCATCGAGATGTTTGAGTCGTTCAAGTCGTTCGAGGGCCTCTACTACTACCTCGGCTCCGTCGTCAACCTCTCGACCGACCCCGAGGTGCACTTCAAGTACATCCAGGCCGCCACCCGCACCGGCCAGATCCGCGAGGTCGAGCGCATCTGCCGCGAGTCGAACCACTACAACGCCGAAAAGGTCAAGAACTTCCTCAAGGAGGCCAAGCTGTCGGACCAGCTGCCGCTCATCATTGTCTGCGACCGCTTCGACTTTGTCCACGACCTCGTCCTCTACCTCTACCAGAACATGCTCATCAACTTTATCGAGGTCTACGTCCAGCGCGTCAACTCGTCGCGCACCCCGCAGGTCATCGGCGGCCTGCTCGACGTCGACTGCGACGAGGGCGTCATCAAGAACCTGCTCCAGTCCGTCACGGGGCCCATCCCCGTCGACGAGCTGGTCGACGAGGTCGAGAAGCGCAACCGCCTCAAGCTCATCCTGCCCTGGCTCCAGTCCAAGATCGAGGCGGGCCACCAGGACCAGCCGCTGTTCAACGCCATGGCCAAGATCGCCATCGACAGCAACAACAACCCCGAGGCCTTCCTCAAGGAGAACAACCTCTACGACCCGCGCGTCGTCGGACGCTACTGCGAGAAGCGCGACCCCTACCTCGCCTACATCGCCTACGCCAAGGGCTTCTGCGACGACGAGCTGATCGCCATCACCAACGACAACTCGATGTTCAAGCACCAGGCGCGCTACCTCGTCAAGCGCAGGCAGCTCGAGCTGTGGGCCCAGGTGCTCCAGCCGGACAACGTCCACCGCCGCCAGCTCATCGACCAGGTCGCCTCGACCGCCATCCCCGAGTCGACCAACCCGGACGACGTGTCGGCCACCGTCAAGGCCTTCATGGCCGCCGACCTGCCCCACGAGCTCATCGACATCCTCGAAAAGATCATCCTCGAGCAGTCGGCCTTCAGCGACAACAAGAGCCTCCAGAACCTGCTGCTCCTCACCGCCGTCCGCACCGACAAGGGCAAGGTCATGAACTACATCGACCGCCTCGACGCCTACGACGTCGACGAGATTGCCAAGATCGCCATCGACCATGGCCTCTACGAGGAGGCGTTCCGCATCTTCTCCAAGGCCGAGCAGCACGAGGACGCCATGAACGTGCTCGTCGAGCACATTGTGTCGATCGACCGCGGCCACCAGTTCGCCACCAAGATCAACAAGCCGGCGCTCTGGTCGCGCCTCGGCAAGGCGCAGCTCGACGGCCTCCGGGTCAAGGACGCCATCGACTCGTACGTCAAGGCCGAGGACCCGTCCAACTACGACGAGGTCATCGAGATCGCCGAGCACGCCGGCCGCGAGGAGGAGCTGATCCGCTACCTGCAGATGGCGCGCAAGAAGGCCCGCGAGCCCCGCATCGACACCGAGTACGCCTACTGCCTCGCCAAGGCCAACCGACTGGCCGACATGGAGGAGTTCCTCGGCATGACCAACGTCGCCGACATCCTCAGCGTCGGCGAAAAGTGCTTCAACGACGAGCTCTACGAGGCGGCCAAGCTGCTCTTCACCAGCGTGTCCAACTACGCCCGCCTCGCCACCACGCTCGTCTACCTCGGCGACTACCAGGCGGCCGTCGACGCGGCGCGCAAGGCGGGCAACACGAGCGTCTGGAAGCAGGTCCACGCCGCGTGCCTCAGCCGCCGCGAGTTCAAGCTGGCCCAGATCGCCGGCCTCGCCGTCATCCCGCACGCCGAGGAGCTGCCCAGCCTGATCCGCGCCTACGAGCGCGACGGCCACTTTGACGAGCTGCTCAACCTGCTCGAGCAGGCGCTCGGCCTCGAGCGCGCCCACATGGGCGTCTTCACCCAGACGGGCGTGGCGCTAGCCAAGTACCGCCCGGAGCGGCTGATGGAGCACCTCAAGCTCTACTGGTCGCGCAGCAACCTGCCGCAGCTGATCAAGGTGGCCGATCAGTGCCACCTGTGGAGCGAGCTCGTCTACCTGTACACCAAGTACGACGAGATGGACAATGCGGCGCTCGCCACCATGGAGCACGCCGCCGACGCGTGGGACCACGACCAGTTCAAGGCGATCCTGCCCAAGGTGGCCAACGTCGAGATCTACTACCGCGCCCTCACCTTCTACCTCGAGCAGCACCCGCTGCTGCTGACCGACCTGCTGACGGTGCTGGCCAAGCGCATCGACCACGGCCGCGTCGTGCGCATGTTCAAGAAGCGCGACAACGACAACGTGCCGCTGATCCGCTCCTACCTCGTCGCCGTCCAGCACCACAACCTCGAGACGGTCAACGACGCGCTCAACGACCTGCTGATCGAGGAGGAGGACTACGAGACCCTGCGCTCGTCGATCGACGGCTTCGACAACTTTGACACCATCTCGCTCGCGTCGCGCCTCGAGAAGCACGACCTTCTCGAGTTCCGCCGCCTGGCCGCGCACCTCTACAAGAAGCACGAGCGCTGGAACGAGTCGATCGCGCTGAGCAAGACCGACAAGCTCTTCCGCGACGCCATCGAGACGGCCGCCGCCTCCAACAGCTCCGAGGTGGCCGAAGAGCTGCTCAGCTACTTTGTCGATATCGGCAACAAGGAGTGCTACGCCGCCACGCTCTACGCCTGCTACGACCTGGTGCGGCCCGACGTCGTCATGGAGCTCAGCTGGCGCCACGGCCTCAACGACTTTACCATGCCCTACCAGCTGCAGAGCATGCGCGACACCCAGACCAAGCTGCGCGCCCTGGAAAAGGAGGTCCGCGAGCGCGCGCAGAAGGACGCCACCAAGGAGAAGGAGGAGGAAGGTGAGTTGGCCGAGGGTCCGCGGCGCGGCAACAGAGCCGCCGCCCAGCCGCCCAGAAGACGAGTCCGAGCGCGCCGAGGCTGACAGCAGATCCCCCTCCTTCCATTCTCTCTCTCTCCCGTTCCCTCTCCTTTCGACTCCGCAGATGCACCCATCATCGGCCCTGGCGGCCTGGGCGGACCGAAGCTCATCACGGCCGGCGTCACGGGGTGAGTCCGGCCGGCATCGAGGGGAACCCTGCCTGTGCTTGTGATACCATAGCTGACCGTCTGCCCCTCTCTTGCTGTTCCTCTTGTGCGCGTGCGCCTGCCACCTCCGTTCGATAGGATGCCGATGCCGCAAGCAACAGGGTATCCAGGCAACCTCAACGGAGGCATCTACATGCAGCCGACGGGAATGTACTAGAGCCCCGCGACCCCTCGTCCTCGCCCCCGCGCCCCCGGTGTCCTTCTCCCGCACCTTCTCCGGTACCCCCTGCTCCGCTCTTGTCCCCATCCGACCCGACGCCCCTGTCTCTTTTCCCCCGAGATCCTGCCTTGTACAGCAGAACGACTGAAGTAGGACAAAAATCTCGCCCGTGAATCCTCTGGTGCTTTCGTTATCGATTCGAGGCTCCGATCTTGCCTTTGAAACGATTATGGTGGCCTGCGGCAGATGTGCGGAAATGCGGCGAAAAATGGCGTCGAAAAGCGCCGTCTGCCAACTTGCCTCGCAATCAGTCTCGACTGCGCAAGCTCGAGGACGCTTTCGACGGGCGCATGCCACTCTCGAGGGCCGGCAGCCCTTCGCAGCAGCCGTGGGCTCCAATCCAGGTTGGAAGACGCCTGCTGAGCCTCTGAGCGCCAGGATGCTGGCGTGCACCGCGTGAGGGGAAGGCAGAGACAAACGCAATCGGGCGGCAGCCTCCGACCCCGATCGGGATTTGACTCCAATCCTATCGCGCGAAAGAAAGACCTAGCCAGCCCCGACCCCAGCTCGGGTGTGGGCGACGCCCGTGCGCCCGCGCTTTGAATTTTTTTTGGCTGGTGCCTAGCATAGCCTTGCCTGCGCTGCCTATCTGCGCTCGGACCCTGCAGGAGCCACCCCGCCTCGGCTGCAAGTTCGACACATGACCTGCTTTCCCCCCCCATCCACCTGGCCTGCCTCTGCTCTGGCACACCCCAACCCTATCTCGACCTGGCTCCCCGGCCACCTCCCGGACCCCCAAACCTGCCCTGAGCTCGTCTCGAGGCTGACCGGATCCACCTCCTGGGATCGCCCGCCATACGTGGGCTGTGCTGGGTGAGTAGCGTGCGTGTGGTCGGCCTGCTTGCTTGCTTGCTTGCCTCTTGACGAGAGACCGACCGACGCGTTACGTTGAGCGAGCGCGCGGCAGGATGCCGGCCTCTCCGACCTGTTGGGCTTTGGCTCGACCGCCATCGGAGCTCGGCCTCGGTCCACCTGCCCACGGCGACGTCGTCGGAACGATCCGATCAGACGACGGCTGGGGCAGACGTCCTCGCTCTCTCCCTAGCCCTCCTCTCTGCAGCTTGTTGGGCACCGTGGGGCGAGGATCGTCGCGGGGGAGAGAGGGCGGGCGTGGGCGACAAGATGGCTGGCCAGGCCAGGCAGTTGGCAACGTCGGGGAGGGGGGGACATGCACCCTCACCCTCGACCCGTGCTCGTCGGCAGGGCATCCGAAACCTCGTCGGGCTCGCCCCACGATGCCGGCAGCTTAGCTTGCTTGCCCTTCGACGCTGCAGCCAGATCCGCCGACACGGCGGCAAGTCACCGGGAGGGGAGGGCAGGGCGGCGGGACGAGGGGCGAGCGACGTGCCGTCGTGGCATAGGGCAGCGTGGCGCTGTTCTCTGGTCTGGCCTGACCGCTTCGGCGCGCTCCGCACCCTCCTCGCCCGACCCGGGCAGCCCCTCGTCGCCTCTCGCTATCGCCGCACCTCCTCCTGACCCTGCGCCAGCCTGGTCCCCCTCGCCCGTTCGCCCTGGCATCGGCAGAGGCCGGGTCGTCTGGCAGCTATATAAGACAGCTGCCTCTCTGGCGCCCGTCCTTGCCTTCGGTCCATCACCCCCCTCATCCCTCGCTGTCCCTGCCCCACTCTGCGCCCCCAGCACGCTCCCCCGGCCCTCGTGTTCCGCCATCGCCTGTCCCGACTATAGACGGCATCGCTTCCGGCTGCACGCAAAGCATCCACCACATCCAGTCACGACCAGTACGTCTTTCCTGCGCCTCACGCACGGCTCCACGCCATTCCCCGAGCACCGCCATCGACCAGCACCGGGTCCCAGTCCAGCCCAGCCCAGCCCAGCTTCGCTCAGCATCCAGCCCATCGCTGCTCTTCCCGCATCTTCTCCATCCCGTCGTCGTCCACCTCGGCCCCGGTCGCCGCCACCATGTCTTCCACCCTGTCCAAGTTTGCCGGCAGCGGTTCTGGCGCTAGCGGGTCCGGCGCCATGAACGCAGCAAAGACGGCCGTCGCTTCGGCCAACCAGTCGACTGCCACCGGCCTCAACAAGCCCGCACAGAAGACGTATCCCTTCTGGCTCGGAGGTGCGTACCGTCTCTTCTGCGACAGGCTTCGCGTTGACCCCGGGCTGTCCAGAGACGCTCTTCGTGGTCCTTGACTTGCTGACGACTCGCCTACTTTGCTCCCTCGTACGACCCTGGCATACCTTTCAGGCGCCGCCGGCTGCTGTGCGGCCTCGATCACGCATCCGCTCGACCTGACCAAGTACCGCCTCCAGACCGCCGCCGTCAAGCAGGGCATGTTCCGCACCATTGTCCTTTCTGTCAAGACTGAGGGCATCACCAGCCTCTGGCACGGGCTCACGGCCACCCTGCTCCGGCAGTTCACCTACTCCGTCACCCGCTTCGCCGTCTACGAGGACATGAAGGGCAGGATGACGCAGCGCTCGGGCAAGGCGCCCACCACGGGCGAGCTGGCCGCGTGTGCTGCCACGGCTGGTGCCCTCGCCGGCGTCGTCGGCAACCCTGCCGAGATCGTCCTTGTCCGGTGAGTGTCGAGGCTCAGACGTGGGGCGCTATCGCAGTCCTCTCTTCCAGACGATGGACAGCCTCTCACCCCTGGCCCGCCTGCGCTCGCTCTGGGCGATCCCTCCCCCTGCTCCCGCGCAGCATGTGCTCGGACCTCAACCTGCCCAAGGAGGCGCGCTACGGCTACCGCAACTGCATCGACGGCGTCATCCGCATCGCGCGCGACGAGAGCGCCCAGACGCTGTTCAAGGGCCTGGGTCCCAACATTGTTCGCTCGGTCGCCCTCAACGTGTCGCAGCTGGGCTCCTACGACATGTTCAAGTCGCTGCTGCAGGCGACCAACGTGCTGCCCGACGGGCCGGTGCTGCAGACGGCGGCCACCTTCTGCGCCGGTACGCTCTGCACGACGGTCTGCACGCCCATCGACGTCGTCAAGAGCCGCGTCCAGAACATGAAGAAGGGCGCCACCGGCGGCGGCGTGGCCACCGTCATCCGCGACGCCATCCGCAAGGACGGCCCCACGGTCTTCTTCCGTGGCTGGACGCCCGCCTGGCTCCGCCTGCAGCCTCAGACGACGCTCCTCTTCCTCTTCTTTGAGCAGTTCAAGGCGCTCGTCGACAAGTCGCGCGAGGCGCGCCACAACCCCGATATCCGCAAGACGGCCTAAGTCACCAGCCACGGCAGCTCGGTCCGGCTCCACAATGTGGCGTTTTCGTGCGCGCCCCGCTCTCGCAGCCGGCTGGGCCGCACTACTGTACTCTTGTCACGCTTCTTGCTTCTCCGATTGCCATTGATACCGCTAGCCAGGGAACAACACCAGTCCGACCGTCGGTGGCGTTATCCCTCGGCCAGGGGCAGACATCTCGCGTGACTAATCGCCCCCTCCTCGGGTCTCACACAAGGCGGCAAGCGCGCCTTGCCACGAGAGGCCGAGGTACGAGCTGGTGGGCGACAAAGAGAGGGGAGCAGCAGTGACGCACACATCTGGCCTGGCATGGTCTGCGCCATTTAGCGCTACGCCACGAGACGTCGCATGGACGGTACAAGGTTGTGGGTGCAGCGCCGGCGCTAGCCTACCACGGACTCTGACAGGTGCCACGGGCCTGGCGGCACGCCGCGCAGAACTGGTCCGGCATCAGGGGCTCGCGGCAGCCGTATTCGGTCGGAGGAAGCGCCTGGGTCCCGCGGGTGCACTTGGAGAGAGCGTTGGTCGCCAGCGTCACTGGCCTCGGAGTCGTGCAGGTCAACGTCGAGTCGCCGCCGGCGTCGAAGTGGTAGATGGCGGCCCGGACGCTGGGTAGCATGGCGAGCGCCAACAAGGCGACGGTGGCGACAGTCAAGAAGTGACGCGGTTTGGTGGATGGGTGCATACTGGTGGCGACATCGCAATGCGGTGTTCGGTGGAGGGAGGTGAGGGCTGAGTCAAGGCATAGGGAGCGGGCTGGCAACAGCAGATCTGGCCTCGCGTGCTCACTTTGGTCGATCTGGTGGGTGGCTCGCGCTTCGAGCTCTAAAGGTCGGTCCGCTTGGATAGGGCTGGGCGGCAAGTCTTCAAACTGCCAGAGGCCGCGATTGGGCGAGAGCTTGAGAGGAGGGGGGATGAGAGGAACGCCCGAAGCTCGACAACTGATATACCCCTCGACGGTCGTCTCGGGCTCCGGCGCGGGCCGCCTCGTCCTCAAGAGCCTCATCGAGCGCTTCGGTGCGGAAACAAGTCGCGGAAGTTGCGAGCGCCCGCCAGAGCATGCGATAGGGGTCCGCCCGGTGGGACCAGCGCGGCGGTCCGACAACAAGCGGGGAGAGGAACGTGGGTTGTCATCGTCTCGACAAGAGATGGTGGTCAGCGCCACGCGAGGGGGTTCTGCACACGTATCGCGGTCCTGACTTTGGCTCTGCACTCCCTCGCTACTGGGGCGCAGGCCGTCCTATCGCCATCGATATGGTCCGTCTCGCCTTTACTCGTGGACGGCGTGACGGATTTGATGACATCTGCCAGTCAACTCCCGCAGACGAAGCACAGAAACAGAGGGGAAGGGGGACAACTTGGGTCGAGAAGAGGGTAGGTCGAGCGCTCCTGGCAGGTGTTGCCAGCTGCGCAGCTAGGCCGCGAGCGCCGGATGGCCCAACGCCACAAGGAAACGAGACAAGAGCGCGCTGCGCACGGGAACGAGGAGAGAGGGCGAGTGCAAGCGGCGAGGATTAAAAGGTGGCAAGAGAGGACGAGAAATCTCGGGGGTTGATGAAGCCTCTGCTGACGTGTGGCAGACGGCGGCAAGACCAACGATGGAGTAGCCAGGGGCAGGGACGGTCCTCTCTGTGGCGACGACGCAGAGAGGCGGCCGCCACGCGGGGGGAGGGGCGCGGCACGGCCTCTACTCCTCGTCCGAGCACACGCTGCCGGCAATACGGCAGGCGACGCAGAATCCCCTACTGTCGAGTTGGGCGCACCCGATCTCGTGGAAGCCACGGCACGGGTAGGGGATCGAGTTGGAGAACTTGGCGTCGTCGGCAGGCTCGCAGGTGGTGCCGGAGGCGGTGTGCGTATACAGGACTGCCTGGGCGCCGGGCAGGCTGGTCAGCGCCACGACTGCGGCCATGGCGAAGAGGACGAGGGTCGACTTGGCGTACATTCTACTCGTCGGACCGGATCGGATACGAAGCAGGGCAAGGCAAGAGGTGAGTCAGGACCGTGCCTTGAACGAAAGGCGGGCGGCGTCGACGTACTGCGTACCTTGCAATGGGTGGGTCTGTCTGCGTTGCGACGAGGGAAGGTTTGAGCGCTTCGATGGGTCTTGCTGCTGTCGATAAGTGATCAAAGGCGAGTGCGATGCTGAGGAGGGAGGATGACCTTGCGGCAAGCCCCTCTTTATACCTTGCGACGGACACGCTCACTCGGAGCGCATCGAGGGAAGGCCGCGCCTTGCTCTTCTCTCGCTACTCCTGCGATATCGTCTTGACGAACCCGTGCCGTATCGCTCAGGGAAGACATCGACCAAGGCATCGCGGAGCCCCCACGTCCGAACGAGGTTGACCGTTCAAGAGGATGGCGGTGGGGTGAGGTGCAGTGGGGTGGGAACTCGCCTTCCTCCTCGCCACGTCGACAAGAAGACACGCACCTCCGACCCGCCACCGTGGAAAATGCGGCAGGTCCAGACCGTCGTGGACGTGATCGTGAGCCTATTCGGTTCGCTCGTCGGTCTGGAACTGTTGAGACGGATATTGCCCATCTTCGGCTGTGGGCTGGAGGTCGTTCTGGGACGATACCCTCGCGCTCTACTGCACTCATCGCGGACTCGGATCGATGCGGAAGCAGTGCCGCCACGACGTCAGGCCAAGATCAGGGCTCTGCCACGACTCGCTTCCGATTACGGTCGGTGTTCTGAGTCGAGAGAGGCACGGATTGACGTCCTTCTGATGTCGTGCACCGAACCAGGAAGCCCGCACCGAGAAGGACAGAATCAAGCTAAGGTGAGAGCGTCGCTAGATACCCGCTCGTCCGTGAGTCCCGCCAAAAACAAGCCCTGCTGCGCCCGCGCGCGTACCCGCGCCGGCAAACGTTCCGTCCCGCTGCTCCTTTTCCCCCGCCACAACTGAGTCGAGGGCGGGCGAAGGCCGTATGACGCCTGCACCAGTGTGGGTCGACGAGACTGCGCTAGGTCTTTCGACGACCTCGGGGAAAGTGGGGGTGGATCGAGAATGCCTTGGTCCACTGCTTGTTGACAAGAACCGGCGGCGATGTGCCGCTGACCGTGATAATGGTGGACGGATCCCCTGGCTTCGTCGGCGGGGCCCGACTGGAGCCCCCACATGGTTGAGACGATGTGGTAAGAGCGCAACGTGTAGCGGGACGATGCTCGTCTTCGATGCGGCGCGTTCGTCAGGACCGTCTTTGCTCGCTTCGCGGATGTTGCTTCCGGCTTGGGCTAGGTTTCGTCGTTGATGCTGGTCACGGGGCTGGAGCGAATCTTGCCATTCTCGAGGCTTGCAAGAAAGACGGGACCTCGAGGACATGATTGAGGGATGATGACGCGTCCGGAGAGCCCCGTATGTGCGGTTCCATCTGTACCAGCACCTCTCGGAACGTCCCGGACGCGCATGTTGGCGCTCTTCAGAAGGGACGTCTGGCGTCCGGCGATGCTGCTACACGTTTGCAGTCGGGCGTTCGTCACGGCACGAGGGGAAGCTGGGATCGTCCGTCACGGCACGAGGGGAAGCTGGGATCGTCTCGAGCTGACGGGAGCCCCCGGATGGCCTCGGGTGGCCTAGGGCTTGCCAGCGAGGGTCAGGCAGGCATGAGTATGGCGTCCCCTCCCCTCCTTGCATGCTCGGAGCGAGTCGTGACAGGTGTCATGTTGTGGCGGAAAAGCGCCCTCTTTATCCAGACGAGAACGTGGCACGAGGCTACGGGCGTACGACCTCTCCCCGTTCCTCGGTATTGGAGGCTTGCACGGCGTCAGTCGACCCGATGGATAGGGCGATGGGCGAGATCTGAAGGAGAGGCCGGGTTGCGTGTTGACCTGTCCTGTTTGCCCTGTACGTTACTCGCCACGGCAGCAGCAGCGGCGGATGGTTTGTGCTCAGTCTCCTCGGAGCTCATTTGGCAGAGAGACGTCTACTGCTCGCAGCTCACTCGACTGAGCTCCCGTACGAGCATATGTAGGTCGACGGAGAGGTCTCGGGCCGAGGCGAGCTGCCGCTCTTCGCGCATTGCCGCCGAAGAATCGAGGGCATCCGACCCCTCATGCCGATGGATGTTTTTCAACCATGTCTCCAACGGAGGCGTACGCTTTGCACGACGTCGCTGCTAAAAACAGAAGAGAGACGAAGAGGGACCCGACTTTGGATGGCCTGGTAGGCGGCGCAGAGCTTTGCTATGCTTTCCTCTGGCCCGCCTGTTGACTACCCTGCTGTGCTCCGGGCGGGTCCTCTTCTAACATTAAGGCTTTGATACCGGTACCCCGTCGCGATTGGCTTGCATCGGGGATCCTGTTGCCTCGACCCCTCTATTCTCCTTCATTAGTGTTCCTTCGCCAGCATCGCATCGCCCTGACCAGCTGGTCTACAGTACAGTACATGCTTTGCTGTCCTCGACGTTGCTCCCGTCATGCTTCTGCCAGGAACACATCAACAGTATGGCGAATTTCTCGTCATTGTCGCTTCGAGGAAAAGCTCCGAGCGAGTCGCGGTTGAGCTCCGGCTTGGCCGCCTGAGCAGCGTCAGGGAGCCTTGCCCCCTACCGAAAGGCAGCCCAAGCAGCGTTGAATCGTCGCCGCTCTCACGCTACACCTGGCTCGTACGAGGCTCGGGCTCGCCGTCCGACCTTCCCCGCCGATTTTGGAAGCGGCAAGATTCTATCCGTCAAGGGTCCTCACTCGCCCTATTATTGTTGTGCTTTCCGCGGAGGTCGGATGGCGCTTCCCGAGCGGTAGCGGCCAGCAGAGGCCAGCAGGCCAGCAGGCAGGCGAGCGAGCAGGCTCGGCGGCCAGGGTTTCGAGATCCGCGTGGCAGCGAGCTAAAGCATGAGCGCATCGATTATTACTCTCCGATGCGGATGCAGTGGCCGGCAGACAAAACACAGGCGTGAGTCGAGGGAACACCTCGTCCTTCTTGGCTGACGACGGGGGCACTTGGATTGGGGCCGTTTGAGACCCAGCGCGGACGCTATGCTGTCATGGATGGACCCCAACGGGTGGCTTCGCTCGGGCCTCGACCAGAGGGCACGACGGCGAGAGGGGGCCCGCTCCACGTTTCACTCATCGGCCAAACACGCAACGCAAAGCAACCTGCCCGCCCGCCTGCCTCTTCTTTCGGAGCAGACGTTGTGCCGGCGTCGGCCTTGCTCGCAAGAAAGTTGGCCCTAGCCTGCCGTAGCCTGCCCTGCCCTTTCCGATGGAATCATCTCGTGCCTGTCTCCGCATCGGCACACAGACGAGGCGCAAGAAGCGGCTCCCGAGCCCTGAGCCTCTCGCCCTGCCCTCGCCGCACTCGGTCGCCCTTTGTCTTAGCTTCGTGGCTGCTTGGCTGCCGGCCTCGCCCGCTCTGGATGGAGCCCGAGCTACGTTTCCTGTGGAAGCAACAGGTACTAGTCTCGAGCCGTCCTCTCGGCGCACGACTACGAAGTACCATACATATACCCTGACGGGCTCTCGGCGCCTCTTCCTCCTCGGCCCCTGCTCTCGCCGCCTCCCGTCGAACCATCACCACCTCGATCTCCCGACCGTCGATACCCTAGACAAGCGCACAACGGCAAGCAACAGGACACCGACACGCAGCGAGCCAACCATGGCGTCGCACCAGATGACCGCCGACGATGGCGCTGCCGGTGCTGCTGCGACACAACAGCCCCAGGCGGTCCCCGCTCCGCCAATCGCCTCGGCCGACCTTGCACCCACTGCCGCAGCCGCAACGGCCCAACACACCTCCAGCGGCTCGTCGCCAGTCCAGGAGACCCGAGACGTCTCGTCCGCCGAGGCCTCGCCCGAGATGCCCCCGCTACAAAAGACGACGACCGGCAGGAGCGCCAACCGCATCCCCCTGGCCTCGCTCGACCCAGAGGGCACGGCGGAGCTCACACGCATGCTCTCCCAGAACTCGGCAAAGGCCCGCTCCCGGCAAGACGTCTCGGGCGCCGTCGAAGAGGGCCACACGGCCAACCCGTTCGACACCGAGGGCAACTTTGACCTCGAGTTTTTCCTCCAGGAGATGCTCGGCCGCAGCAACGAGCGCGGCCTCGAGAGGCGCGAGATGGGCCTCGTCTGGAAGAACCTCACCGTCACGGGCACCGGCTCGGGCGTCGCCCTCAACACGTCGGTCGGCAGCCTGCTCCTTTCGCCCTTCCGGGCGCTCAAAAACATCCAGAGCCTCCTCCATCCGCCCGTCAAGACGATCCTCGACGACTTCGAGGGCTGCGTCAAGCCCGGCGAGATGCTCCTCGTCCTCGGCCGACCGGGCGCCGGCTGCACCAGCTTCCTCAAGACGATCGCCTCGTACCGCGACGGCTTCCGCTCCATCGACGGCACGCTCCTCTACGAGGGCATGGACCACTCGGTCATCGACAAGAAGCTCCGCGGAGACGTCGTCTACTGCCCCGAGGACGACGTCCACTTCCCCACCCTGACCGTCAACCAGACTCTCACCTTTGCCGCCGCGACCCGCGCCCCCCAGGCCAAGCGCCGCCTTGGCCTCTACGACCGCGAGGGCGAGAACGCGTCGCGCAGCACCTACATCAAGACGACCGTCGAGGTTCTCGCCACCATCCTGGGCCTCCGCCACACCTACAACACAAAGGTGGGCAACGACCTCATCCGCGGCGTCTCGGGAGGCGAGAGGAAGCGTGTCAGCGTCGCCGAGACGCTCGCCGCCCGCGCCAAGGTGGTGCTGTTCGACAACTCGAGCCGCGGCCTCGACTCGAGCACCGCCCTCGAGTTTGTCAAGTCGCTCCGGATCGGCACCGACCTGGTCAACATGACGACGGTGGCGTCCATCTACCAGGCCGGAGAGGGCCTCACGCAGCTGTTTGACAAGGTGCTCGTCATCAACGAGGGCAAGCAGGTCTACTTTGGCCCCACGTCCGAGGCGCCCGAGTACTTCCGCGAGATGGGCTACCAGCCGCACAACCGCCAGACGACGGCCGACTTCCTCGTCGCGTGCACCGACGCCCACGGCCGCGAGACGCGCGAGGGCTACGAGGGCAGGGCGCCGCGCACCGCCGACGAGATGGCCCGGTACTGGCGAGAGTCAAGGCAGGGCCAGGCCAACCGGCGCGAGGTCGAAGAGTACCTCGAGCAGCGAAAGGCCAGCAAGGACGACGAGGCCGTCCGGCGCTACAAGGAGGTCGCCCGCGAGGACAAGGCCCAGCACACGCGCACCGGCAGCGCCTACCTCATCAGCCTGCCCATGCAGGTCCGCCTCGCCATCAAGCGCCGCGCCCAGATTGTCTGGGGCGACCTCGCCACCCAGATCATCATGTCGCTCGCCGCCATCTTCCAGGCCCTCATCACCGGATCCGTCTTCTTCCAGATCGCCAACAACACGTCGGGCTTCTTCAGCCGAGGTACGTCGCCGCCCCAGTCTGCAGCCTGAGAAGCGGGCGCCGTTGTCCGGACCCGGACCACTGACACCTCCCCGCCTCCTCACCGCCTTTCCCGGCGGCCCCTTGCGCGACCTGCAGGCGGTGTCATCTTCTTCGCATTGCTCTACAACTCGTTCACGGCCATGAGCGAGATCACGGCCGGCTACGCCCAGCGACCCATCGTCATCCGCCACCGGCGCTTCGCCATGATCCACCCAGCCGCCGACGCCATCGCCAACACGTTGCTCGACTTCCCCATCCGCATCGTGACGCTGACGCTGTTCGACGTCATCATCTACTTTATGACGGGCCTGGCCGTCTCGGCGGACCAGTTCTTCATCTTCTGGGCCTTCACGGCGCTCATCACGTTTACCATGGTCGCCTTCTTCCGCATGCTCGCCGCCGTGTGCCGCTCCGAGAGCACGGCGACCATGATCGGAGGTCTGGCCGTCATCGACATGGCGCTCTACGCCGGCTACGTGATCCCGCGCCCCTCGATGGTCGTCTGGTGGAAGTGGCTCTCGTACAGCAACCCGGTCGCGTTCGGCTTCGAGGCGCTGCTGGCCAACGAGTTCCGCCGGCTCAACGTGCCCTGCGCCACCTTCCTGCCCGCCGGCCCAGCGTACGCCAACGTGCCCGCCGCCAACCGCGTCTGCCCCGTCGCATCGGCCGCGCCCGGACAGGAGATCATCAACGGTTCCGCCTACCTTGAGGCGTCGTACGGCTACCGCTGGGCCAACGCCGGGCGTAATGCGGCCATCATCGCCGGCTTCTGGGTCTTTTTCCTCATCGTCTACGTCGCCGCGACCGAGATGCAAAAGGACCCGAGCGCGTCGGGCGGAGTCATGGTCTTCAAGCGCGGCCGCGCTCCCAAGGGCGTCGTCGAGGCGGCCAAGGTCAGCGGCGACCTCGAAGAGGCGGAAAAGGAGGGCAAGGTCGACACCCGGCCGGCCGCTGCCGCCGACGATGCCGACGAAGGGCTGGACGAGGAGCAGCAGAGGGAGGCCGCGGGCAAGCTCGACTCGTCCGACTCGGTCTTCAGCTGGCGCGACGTCAACTACGACGTGCTCATCAAGGGCAGCCCGCGCCGCCTGCTCAACAACGTCTCGGGCTACGTCGCGCCGGGCAAGATGACGGCGCTCATGGGCGAGTCGGGCGCCGGCAAGACGACGCTGCTCAATGTCCTGGCGCAGCGCACCGACACGGGCGTCGTCCAGGGCCTCTTCCAGGTCGACGGCAAGCCGCTGCCCAGGTCGTTCCAGGCGGCGACGGGCTACTGCCAGCAGCAGGACGTCCACCTCGAGTCGCAGACGGTGCGCGAGGCGCTCCAGTTCTCCGCCCTCCTCCGCCAGCCGCGCGAGGTGCCCGAGCAGGAGAAGCTCGACTACGTCGAAAACGTCATCCGCCTCCTCGAGATGGAGTCGTGGGCCGAGGCCATGGTCGGCAACGTCGGCGAAGGGCTCAACGTCGAGCAGCGCAAGCGCCTCACGATCGGCGTCGAGCTCGCCGCCAAGCCCAAGCTGCTGCTCTTCCTCGACGAGCCCACGTCGGGCCTCGACGCCATGGCGGCGTGGTCGATTGTGCGCTTCCTGCGCAAGCTGGCCGACGCCGGCCAGGCCATCCTGTGCACCATCCACCAGCCCTCGGGCGAGCTCTTCAACCAGTTCGACCGGCTGCTGCTGCTCCAAAAGGGCGGCAAGACGGTCTACTTTGGCGACATCGGCAAGAACTCGCAGAAGCTGCTCGACTACTTTGGCAAGCGCTCGGGCACCGCCTGCGGCGAGGACGACAACCCGGCCGAGTACATCCTCGACGTGATCGGCGCCGGCGCCACGGCGACGACCAAGCACGACTGGCACCAGCTCTTCCTCGAGTCGGAGCTCAAGCAGGAGCTCAACGCCGACCTGGAGCGCGTCGAGTCGTCGACGCGGCGCGAGGGCGCCAAGCTGTCGGACGAGGACGAGGCGGCCGTCAACCGCGAGTTTGCGGCGCCCCTCTCGATGCAGGCGCGGCTCGTCGTCCGGCGCAACTTTGTCCACTACTGGCGCACGCCCGTCTACGTCGGCAGCAAGCTGGCGCTCAACATCATCGGCGGCCTCTTTATCGGCTCGTCGTTCTGGAACCAGGGCGCGCTCGTGTCGACGGCGTCGCTGCAGAACAAGATCTTTGCCATGTTCATGGCCCTCGTCCTCTCGACATCGCTCTCGCAGCAGCTGCAGCCCGTCTTTATCATGTTCCGCGGCATCTTTGAGGCGCGCGAGCGCCCGAGCAAGATGTACAGCTGGGTGGTGGCCGTCTGGGCCGCGCTCCTCGTCGAGATCCCGTGGAACCTGCTGGGCGGCACCCTCTTCTGGGCGTCGTGGTACTGGATGGCCGGCTTCCCCTCGGACGGCAAGACGTCGGCCACCATCTGGGGCTTCTACATGCTGTTCCAGATCTACTTCCAGACGTTTGCCGCCGCCATCGCCGCCATGGCCGCCAACGCCATGGTGGCCTCGATCCTCTTCTCGACCCTCTTCAGCTTCGTCATCGTCTTCTGCGGCGTCGTCCAGCCGCCCAGCGCGCTGCCCTACTTCTGGCGCGTCTGGATGTTCAAGCTGTCGCCTTTCACCTACCTCATCGAGGGCATGCTCGGCAGCGTTCTCGGCGGCCGGCCGGTGCGGTGCAGCCCGGGCGAGTTCAACACCATCGTGCCTCCCGCCGGCCAGGACTGCGCCGCCTACCTGGGCCAGTTCACGACGAGCCTCGACGGGCCCAACCTGGGCACGGGCTACTTCGAGCAGGCCGCCGACGGCACCTGCAGCTACTGCAACTACCGCGTCGGCGACGACTACCTCGAGTCGCTCACGTTTTCCGCGTCGCACATCTACCGCAACATGGGCATCATCTGCGCCTACATCGCCTTTAACGTGGCGCTCTGCTTTAGCCTCTTCTACCTCTTCCGCATCTGGAACCCCAAGGGCAAAAAGGCCCAGAAGGCCAGCAGCAAGGCCAAGCCGATCCAGGAAAAGGCCGAGCAGGCCGTCAACGAGACCAGCAGGCAGGCCCAGGGCGCCCCGCACAGCGAGAAGATGAACGAACAGCTGCCCACCAGCAACCTCGTCGGCGGCGGCCAGGGCGTCCAGCAGGACGTCAAGCGATCCTGAGCGGGCCGCTGCTATCCCCTCGCCCTTGCCCCTCTGCTTCACACAAACGCTCCTTACCAGCCATGTACCAACCAGTGCCGTGTCCTAATCCCTGCTCCCAGCACCTCTCCTTTCGACTTCTATGTGGGCGATCCTCGATCCCCTTTGCTGCACCTTTATGGTAGACACCTTTGAGGCCCCCGGAACAAATCACCTCTTGCTCTCTTGCCATCTCCGTCGTCTGCCGGCTCCTTGCATCGTGCCGTGCTGTGCCGTGCCGTGCCTGTGCCGAGAGGAGGATGGATGAGGCCGGAATGAGGCCGTCGGCCGGCAGGGAAAGGCCGGAATGAAGCCGCCGACCGGCTCCACGCGTCGGCAGTTGACGCTCGAAGCTGCCGTGACCCTGCCCCACTGCTCTAGCATCGTTGACGAGGCGGTGCGAGGGTAACGCTCCAAGCTGCGCCAATTCCCCCGTCGCGCCCGCTTTCGTCGGATCACCGCCGACCCCGAGCCTATACAAAGCTGACAGGCTCACGCTCGCCTCGAGGGGGTAGGTTGGCGGGCGTTGTGGGGGCGGAGGAGGGATACGGGGCCGTCCAGGGGGGTGCATGGGGCTGAGCCGGCGGGCGGATGAGAATGCGCATTGATACCCTCGACCTCCTCGGCCAACGGTGGATCGGAAACAACTCGAACCCTTCCCACCCAAGCCCATTTCGGCCCGCGGTCGCGAGCCGTGATCGAGTGACGATGACGATGACAAGCTCGGCATGCCAAAGGTGGGGTCAGGGGGCAGCGTGGCTGTGTTGGCGTTGAGGCGGACAATGCACAAGCCGGCCCAGACTCGACACAGGAGGCGGAGGGCGCAAGTGGTGCCGAGGATGTGGGGTCATCGGCTCTTCTTTCCGAACTGACCGTGACGAGGGTGTCCTCGACGAGGTCATCCCTCGAGGCGCGTTGGTACGGCGCGGGGAGAGGTATAAGAGGTGCCTCGCCCGCCCGTCCTCCTCCTCACTCTCCATCCATCTCACAGCACTCGCAGCGATCTCCACCGTCCTTCACAACAGCCCTAATCCTCCCTCGACCAGAACAAGCCACTCACTCCTCCTCCAACCGACAAGATGTACAAGTCGCTCTTCTTCCTCTCGCTCGCCCTCCCCCTCCTCGTGGCGGGAGCGGCGGTGAAGCCCGCGGCACCCGTGTCGTACACGATCGACAAGAGCTACAAGTGCAAGGGCCTGGGCGACGTCGACCTGGCGCACAAGGACGTCAAGGGCCCCGCGCTGCTCTGCTTCCGCCCCAAAAAGGCCGGCAAGCCGGTGCAGTGGAGCGTCGAGGCCAACGGCAAGACGCTCGCCGAATCCAACGGTTGCGTTGCCGTCGACATTGACAACCACTACCGCCAGGCTGGACCCGACGAGAGCAAGTGGACCGATGCCCAGATCTTTGGCTTCATCAATGATGGAAAGAAGGGTTTCAAGGGCGGCATCGACTTCAAGGGTGAGAAAGCCGCGCCCGTCCGTCGTTCGGTGCTGAGCCGCTGGTCTCGACTGACACCCTTGTGCCTGCTTCTTCTGCCTGCCCACCCTCCCTTGCACGCCTTACCTGCCATCTTTCTTCATGGTCGCCACTCACGCAGTCGCCGGCAACAACAAGACGTGCAAGCTGGGCGAGTTCAAGAAGCCCAAGAAGGGCGCTTGGGTCGACACCGACAACAAGGTCCACAAGGGCCACCCCAAGAACTGAGCGCCGCCACCCCCGCTGCCTGCGCTCCGTCGCCCTGCTGGTCGAGCGGCTCGCTCTTCACGCACTCCTCCTCGATCCCATGTGTCGCCTCGTCGCCTCGTACCCTCCCTTCCTCCCTGTCTCCCCTGTCATGATAATCGTCGCCACTTGACGAGGCCCCCCGCCCTCCCTCTGGTCGGAGGGCGTCAGAACAATCAATCTCACACGTCCACGTCCTCGCCGCTTCTTCGGTCGACTGTATGAGATTTCCGTGAGCTCAAAGACAGAAGAGCTGTGGCCGTGACATTGTGGGTCTGATTCTGATACCCGGGATGGTGAGCGAGGGAACAGGTCGTGTCTACACCGACGGAAGCGGTGCGCGTTTATAGATTTGTCCGCAGAGCGGCGTCTAGAGATGTGATGGGGGGTTTGGAGTAGGCGTTGCGAGGGCTCAAGCCGTCGACGGGGGAAAGCATGCCAAGGACGTCGCGCGATCGTTGGATCGCGTCGCGTCCAGCAGAGCGGCCTCGCCTCCGTGGATCGCCGTCCGTCGGGGCCCCACCGCTTAGACCTTGAGGAACTGGCCGTTGGCGGCGCCGTCGTTGGAGACAAAGGCGGCGTAGCTCCAGGTGAGGTCGCGGGCGCCCTGGTTGAAGCCCGTGTCGCGGTTGAACTCCTCGTTGAGGCTTCCGTTGGTCCAGCTGTGGCTCTGGACGATGTCGACGAAGCCCTTGGACATGGTCTTCATGCCCGTGATGATGTTGTTGAACTGGCTCGAGCCGGCGGCGAACGTGCCCGTCGAGAGGCCCGAGGCAAACTGCTGGAAGAAGGGCAGCGAGATCGACGTGATGGTGATCGAGCCGCGCGAGTTGAACACCGAGACGGCCGTGTTGATGATCTCGGCCGACGAGAGGGTGCAGATGTACCACGGGTTGCCCCTGGACGTTCCGACGCCGTCGTAGACGTCCTCCTGGTAGCGTCCCGTGGCGACGGCGGCGGGGGCGGCGGCGCCCTTGTTGATGCCGTACAGGCTGCGGAAGCTGTCGACGTACTTCTTGTGCGTGGCGAGGATCTTGTCCGAGGCCGGGCCAAACTCGGTCGTGTCGACGGCCGTGGCCGTGGTCGTGTCCCAGCCGCGCAGGGCGCCGAGCATGACGGCGCAGTCGAGGCCCGAGCGGCCGCCGACGCCCTGGTAGGCCGTCACGTAGCCGCTGCCCGAGTTCCAGAAGCTCTGCATGCTCGTCTTGATCGAGGCGGCCTGCTGGTTGTACCACGAGGCTGCGCCCGGGTCGTTGAGGCTGGTGGCAAACTTGGCACCGTCGAGGAGGGCGCGGCGCGACACGGCCTGGTTGAAAAAGTGCTGGCCGTTGACCTCCTCCCACAGGTCAAACGAGCTGTCCTGCCAGTGGTGCGACACGTACTCGAGGTCGGTCTTGATCAGGCTGCCGCCGGTGAGCGAGGGCGTGTAGAGGGTGTTCGTAACGAGCGGGTCGCTGAGGCCGATGCGCTTGGCGTAGGCGATGAGCGTCGAGGCGCGCAGCGCCGGGCCGTCGTTCTGGGGGCGTCCCCAGGGGCCCGTGAAGCGGCTGCCGTCCGGGTTGAACTTGGGCTCTCCGAGCGAGGCCGAGCCGTCCGAGTTCTGCTGGTGGATCTTCTCGACCTTGATGTAGTTCTCGATGAGGGTGCGGTCGAGGGTGCCCTGGCTGACGACGACCTTCATGGTGAGGGCGGCGTCGCGGATCCAGGCGTAGAAGTAGTTGGGGTTGGCCGTCGAGGGGGCGGCGATGACGGTGCCGGCGGGCACGCCGGGGACCTGGTTGGAGCTGCCGCTGGGCGAAGCGCCGCCGATGTTGGCAATCATGCGGTTGTAGGCATAGCTGACGGTGGTGGTGCGCTTCGAAAGCTCCTGCTTGAGGCCGAGGAGGGAGCGCGAGATGCTGGCGGCCTCGGCGTTGCCGCTAAAGGCGCAGAGGACGACGAGGATGAGGGCCAGGCCGGCGCTGCCGAGCAGCACAAAGGGCTTCGAGGCGCGACGCTTGCTGACGATGGCGACCATGGCTTCTGGATCGAGGGGGTAGCAAGGGGGAGAGCGGGGCGGGTCTAGAAGAGGAGATGAGGAGGAGGAGGTGGAGTGGTAGCTGGGGGGCTGCCGTGTAGGAGGAGCTGTGTGGGATGACGAGGAGCGGGGAGGAAAGAGGGGCTCCGCATCTCGACCTTTTATCCCTCTCATGTCGGACGTCGATTGGGGGTCGGTCGTCATGCTCTGGCAGGACACGCGCGGAGGCGGACGTCGGTCCCTCTGTCCGGTAGGTAGCAGGCAAGGCCGGGCCGGGCGCGGAAGGAAGCAGCGGCACAAGCAGGCAACAGCGGGCGTCGGCTGTCGCCCCGGACAGTAGTGTTGGATCTGTGTCGCGACAGGACCGCTGTGGCCAGGCAGGAGCGCAAGATCAAGCGAGCGGCGGCGGCGGCAGCAGCAGTGAACGTGAAGAAGAACAAGCTAGGCCCAGAGCGAGGAGAAGAGACAGCAAGCAAGAAGAGATGCGAGGATGAGTGGTGCCGTGCGTGGTGGACCCAGGTGGGCTGATCTGGAGCAACGGCGCCCCGAAGAGCCTGGGGGCCTCGTGGCAGGAAGCGGTGGTGCGTTTGATGGATCGATATCGGTTCCCGAAGCAGTGGATCGGCGTCGACGGGCGCGCGAGCAGGAAGAAGGGCGGTGCCGGCTCCAGCTGAAGCCGGTTTTGCCGCAGTGGTGGCTGTCTAGAGGTGCGATCCCTGGTGTCTGTGCAGCAGCATGAACTAGGTAAGCAGGGGCCGAGGGTGTGCACTAGCTGGCAGGCGGGCGTCTGTTCGGGCGAATGGCGCCTGGACGGGCCGGAGTGTCGGAGAGATGGAACCGACCGTGGGTGCGATTGGCTGGGCGGGTGATTATGGGGAGAGGTATTGCTCCGAGACTTGGATAGGATGACCCAGGGGAGCCGGCGGAGCGCAGCAGGGCAACGAGCGACGAGGCCGAGGGGCGATGAAGGAAATATGCCGAAGCGGGTGGCAGCGATGCAAGCAGGCAGGCGGGCGGGCGAACCGAGGGTGCGGATCGGCGGTGCGCTGGTTCGGACGACGAGGTGCCGTGCGGTGGTGATGCGGCTCGGTTGTAGTTCGGCGAGAGTGGTGGGTGGTGGTGGTGGTGACGACGAGGACGAGGCCGAGAGGAGAGGAGGACGACGAGGACGAGGATGCGGGGTTGGTGCGGTGCAGGCAGGTGGTCGTACGGGCGCGCAGGAGAGGTGGGTGCGTTTAGGGGTCCAACCGCCAGACTGCGGGGAAGCGGGGTGAAGGGGGACACACACGCGCAGAGGCGCAACGCACAACGGCGGATCGACGCACTCTGAGACTCGACTCCGACCTGTCGGAAAGCCTCGCACCGGCAGCCTCGCTTGTCGCCTGTCGCCTTTCGCCTGTGGGCCAACCGCCTCAGCCCCGCCGGTCCCTCGGCTTGCCGCCGTACCACCACCACGTCGTCGTCCTTCCTACTGTACCCACCCGTCGTAGCCGCCTGCCTCGACCTTCAACCTACCAGCACCGTCGCCCTTCGCACGCGCATAACGCAAACTCCATCGCAACCTGCACCACCGTACACCCACCACCGGCGACTGCCTGGAGCCAAGGTTGCAGCTCCGATTGCCCATTGCTCCGAAAGCCGTCCCAGCCACCACCGACACGGCCACTACTCTACCGCCCTTTTGTTCAACCCTGCACCGCACCGCCGCACCGCTGTTTGGCCTTCGGTAAACTCTCCGCAGCGCGCCGTAGCCCACCGTACACGACCATCATTGCCATGACCTCGCCCATCGTCGTCATCTCGACAACAGCACAGCCGCCTGCGATGCTCACAGAACAGACAGTGTGATGGTCCATCTCAAGCGCCGGTCCAGGTACCTGTCCGACCCGCCGTCCATCACCCTGCCAGTTTCGATTCGCGGCCGGCCAGGACGCACCCTTTCTCTCGCCTCGCAGTTCTCCCGGGCGGCCCCGGCCCCGATGGCGCACGCGCGCCCAAGTCTCGCCGGGAGTCCCTCCGCGGCGCCTGTCGATGACAGCCAGCGTCCGCTCTCGCTCCCCGCGTCGGTCAGTCTCGAGGTAAGAGGTGTGTACTCACCAAGAAAGGCAACCCGTCCCAACCCCGCTTTCCCTCACCCTTCTCGCCAGACGAGTGCGGGGCAGTGCGGGGGGGCGCGCCAGGGCTCAGCTGTCAGAACGAGAAGCTAGGTCCGGGGTAGTCAGTCCATGGAGTGGCAACGCAGAACGTGCGCTCCGCCCCCGGCCTCGCGTGGCCATCTGTTCGTGCGTTCGTTCGGCCCGTTCGTTCGCTTGGCTCGGCGAGCCCTTGCCGTGCCTGCCTCGGCCTCCGTCCGTTCCTGGAATCACCACGACCGACCTCGTCGATGGCCGTACGCCCGCCAACCAGCCCGCTTGTCGGCTCATCCAGAAGTCGGCCGAACTGGACCCGCCACTCGTCGCTCCTGATTAAGCTCTTGCCACCCTGCGTGCCAGCGTGCGAGCGTGCGTGCCTGTCTGCACCGATGGCCAAGTTCTCACGCCCACCGCCGTCGTCTCTTGGCAATCGACGGGGCAGGCGATCGACTACGATGACAGTGGCGGCCATCACGGCGACGACAACGATGACGGCAGACAGAACGGCACCACGAGATGCGAGTTGACCCAACCTGCCAATTCGGGAAGAGTGGCGGTGAAAACGAGACGTTGGCGTTCAGCGGGGAGGAAGACGAGGAGAGGAGGACCTTGCACTCATCGACGACGGGTGGACAGCAGCGAGCGCCTTTGGTTCAGCGTAGCTGTTGGCCCAGCAATGGCCAGCAAGACATGCCAGACCAGATCAGATAACATTGTTGCATGTCCATGTCCGAAGATCAGAAGCATCAGGAGAGCGGGCGCTTTGAGGCCATTTGTACCGGGAATTTGGAGAGCTACAGTGGAGAGTGGCAAACAAAGCGTCAAAATCAACCTCAACCTACTTTGCAAGGGCTTCTGCTGCACAAGCTTAGTTTTCAAAGGCACCTGCATTGCATATACAAATGCTCAGCTGACTCAGGGCTACAACATAAAGGCATCCTTGATGTCCAAAGCCATGGTGAAATAGCCAAGAAGGTGCCAGAGGTTGATGCAGGAAGAAAAGGAGGCAGTTCCTGCTTTGGATGCAGCAAAAACGCTTTTAAGGCCATAAGCTGACTGCCCTTGGCATCATTGCAAGCCTGGGGATCAGGACTAGCAGATGAGCAGGCTTGCAGGGCCCTTCTCTGGACAGATGTGGGGATTTGTTGAGCAAAAGTGTTGAAAATGCTGGAAGAGAATGAACTTCCACCACCTTTTCATGGGCTTCTGCTTCACAACTACCTTATTGCATGTGGCTGCAATACACATTCAGGTGCTCAGCTTGTTCAGGGCTACAAGGTGAGCTTGCCAGAAAGGATGTAGCATCTCTGCAAGGTGCAAGGCAAATGCAAGGAACACGGTTCAGCCAGGGAGAGGTAGAAATCCACCTTTTATCTTGCGGCCAGCGCATTTGTGAAATCACCATGTTCCACTTGGTCTGGGATGTGACCTCTGGTCGAAGGCCGAGGATTTCGCTGCATTAGCCGCTGTACTCGAAGCCGGGGCTGGATGATGGATAGGCTTAGCGATTCAAGCAGTGTTTTAGTTACGCGGTCGGTAGTACAACATCACGAAGGTCGTCGGCGACGGCAGCGCGGAGAGAGAGAGACGTGTAATGTTGAAACGTAGAACAGGTAAAAGTATAACAGGGCCGTCGGCGCCTATGATGACCGCCAGGACGAGGTTGATGGCCCTTAGGCGTCCCTCGGCTCCCCTTCCTCGCCACGGCTGCTCTCGCCGTCACCTTCTTCTTCTTCGTCGTCGTCGTCGCCCTTCTTGCGGAAGAGGATTCCGCCCGTCTCTTCGTTGTGGATCCGCCTGCGCTTGGATGCCTCGCCGTCGTCGTCGTCGCCGTCATTTGAGTCGCGTCGACCAGCCCGGGCCCCGTCGCCGCGACCCGGTCCGTCGTGGAGCTTGACCTTGTCCGGGTTCTGGCCTTTGGCGGCGGCCCTTGCCTTGAGTGCGGCGAGCTTCTTCTTTTCGCGTTTTGCGCGGTTCTTGTCCGTCTTTGCCTCGTCCTGCATGACTTTGGCGGCGTGCTGGCGCGCAAACTCTTCGGCTTGCATGATCTGATGTCGTCGTCAAAGGGGGCGAGGAGGGGTGAGAGGACAGTGACGACAAGGAGTCAGCAGGCGATGACGGTGAGATCGATGACGCTGCCGATGGCGTATGTGCACCCGCCTTCTCACCTTGTTGGCGCCGTCCTCCATGAGCTTGATGCGCTCGTACTCTCTCCTCCTTGCGTGCTTGTAGACGTGGAACTCGCCGCTGCCCGCACCCGCGCTGGAACCGACGACGTTCTTCTGTATCTCGCGCGGGGGCCTGATTGACTTTTCGCGGGGTGGGGCGGGGATGTGTACCTGCCTTTCTGGGTGTGCGAGGAGCTTTTCGAGTGCGCGGGCCTGCTGCTCGTGCGGGTCGAGGTGGTGCCTCTTGCGGATGGGTGAGGCGGCCGAGGGGCCGGCTTGGGGTGATGTGCTCATTGTGGAAGTTTGCTGGACAGTGGACGGCGGTGCGAGGATGGTGGTGGTGGTGGTGGTGGTGGTGGTGGCGGCAAAGGCGAGACTGGAAATTGGCGTTGAGGAGGAGAGCAGACAAAGGCCACGTCGAGCCAAAAGAGCGACGCCCGACCAGCCTCGCTCCCTCCACCTTGCATGGCCCGCGCGCCCGCCCGCGTCGAGCACGGCAGCCTTGGCTCTCTCCTTCCTCGTCCTCCTTCACCTCCTCCGCCTCCTCCTCGCCCTCTCGCCCGCCACCACTACTGCTCGCACAGCCAGCATCACACTCCTATACATACATCCGAACCCCACCCACGCAACGGCACACCATGGTGCAGCTGCCGCACCCCACCACCGAGTGGTCCAGCCTGCAAGACGTCTTCTACCGAAAGGCAGACGTATACTCGCTCAGCTGGGGCATCGAAAACCTCGCAGACTACAACGTCGCAGCTGCCTCAAACGGCGGCCTCCTAGGTGGGCATCACCGCACCGCGCCATGCTCATGTCGCCCGCGCACACCACTGCGCACCAGCAGCAACAGGCTGACCGACAACTTGACCCCCCCCCCCCCACCCCCCATCCCCCACCCGCCCTGGCAGCCCTCGTGCGCGATCCCACCAGGCTCGTCTCCCTAGGCAAGGCATCCCTGCTCAAGCCAAAGATCCTCGTATACACCGCAGCAGGCCAACTCGTCGAGAGCATACCCGTGAGTCGCCGTATCGCAGCGCATCGGACACGCATCGACTTGTCAACTCGCACCGTCACCGTCCTCGCCGCTGACAGACCCTCCCGCCCTGCGCCTCGGCTTCGCAACACCGACCGCGCCCGTCTCAGTGGGATCCGTCAATCCGCATCATCGCGCTCGGCTTCAACGCCCTCGAGCAGCTCGTCGTCGTCCTCGAGGAGGGCTACGTCCGCGTGTACACCCTCCTCTCGCCCTGCCCCTCCTCGTCCGACCGCTCCACCCCGGCCGCGATCCCCGCCGCCGGCGCCTCGTCCTCTTCGTCTTCCCGCCCGCAGCCAGTGGAGGCCACCTCCAACGCCTACTATACCCAGCACTCGCTCGGCCACGAGGCGACAGAGACCGGCGTCCTCGAGGCGAGGATCTGGTCTGGCGGCCTCGTCGCCCTCGTCGGCGCGCGCCGCTTCATCGAATGGCGATTCCCCGGCCTCGAGCACGACCCAGACAGCGGCAGCGGCAGCAGCATCGGCGATGACGCCCCCGCGAGCGCGAGCCCGTCCGGCTTCGCCTTCGCCTCGCTCGACGACGAGTCGCGGCCCCTGCCCACTCCTCAGCTCCTGCCTCCAGCGGATCCCGCCGCGCCGCTGCCATCGGGGTCGTTTGCCTCGTCGTCCCACCTGCCCACCGACTGGGCCGTCGTCCCTCCTGCCGTCTCCTCGACCGGCCTGACCACCGTCCTCATCGCTCGAGACAAGACGCTCCTCTCCCTCACGCGCTCCGCATCCTCCTCCTCCTCGTCGGCCTCGTCGGCCTGCCAGGACATGCGCCTCTCGCGCGGCCCTTTCTATGCGGTGCGGCCCTCGCCCAATGGCAAGCTCCTGGCGCTTCTCACCGAAGACTGGAAGCTGTGGGTGGTGAGCGCCGATTTCTCGCGGAGCCTCAGCGAGTTCGACATCCGGAACAGCGGCGCCTACGAGGATGCCGCAGTCGTCGAGGGTGGCGCGCTCGACACTCCCGGCGGCGATGGCCGAGGCAAGGGCGGCATCGGACGGACGGGCATTCGAAGCATCGAGTGGTGTGGCAACAACACCGTCGCGCTCGCCTTTTCCGACGAGGTGGTCATGGTCGGTCCCTTTGGCGACTCGATCCGCTACAACTACGCCGGGCCCGTGCATCTCGTCGGCGAGGTCGACGGCCTCCGCGTCATCAGCTCGGACCGCCACGAGTTCCTGCAAAAGGTGCCGGACGTCTCGATGCAGGTCTTCAGCCCCGGCTCGAGCGATCCTGCCGCGCTCCTCTTTGACGCGGCCGAGCAGTTTGCCAAGAAGAGCTCCAAGGCCGACGAGGCGATACGCGCCATCCGATCGGATCTCGCCGGTGCCGTCGACACCTGCCTGCGAGCTGCGGCCTACGAATGGGACCTTGGCTGGCAGAGGAAGCTGCTCAGGGTGAGTCGGACACTGTCGCAGCGAAGCTCGAGCAGTGGCGATGCGCGCGGTGAACAAGGACGTTGCTGACCTGGCGCCATCCTTTCCCGTCCTCCCCCTTAGGCGGCCACGTTTGGCAAGTCGTTTATCGATCTGTACGACCCGACACCGCTCGTCGAGCTGACGCGCACGCTGCGGGTGCTCAACGCCGCTCGCGCCTACGAGATCGGCATCCCCATCTCGTATGACCAGTGAGTCGGTCGGTGGAAGGGCGTTGCAACGTGGCAAGGACCTAGTGCTGACCAGGCGTGCTTCATCTCTTTGCAGGTATATTGCTTCGGGCCCGACGGCGCTCCTGTCGCGGTTGACGTCGCAGAACCACCACCTCCTGTCGCTCCGCATCGCCAACTTCCTTCACATCCGGCCAGACCCGATCCTGAAGCACTGGGCGCGCGCCAAGATCGCGCGGTCGCGGCCGCCGCTCGGAGGCTCGAGCGCCGTAATTGCCGAGTCCGAGGAGCGGCTGTGCAACGACATCGTGCGCAAGTTCCAGATGGCCACGACGCTCAGCCACGCCGATCCGCAGTTTGGCGGTGGCGTGGGTGGCAGCGGCGACGTCGGCGGACTCGGAGACGGGCCTAGTGCTCGTATCGGAGCAGCCGACGCGACGACACCGTCTGCGAACGGGAGCGGGCGATCCGGGATGGGCGTGGCGATCAGCTTCTCGGAGGTCGCGTGGACGGCGTGGAAGGCCGGGCGGCGCAACCTTGCGACGCGGCTGCTGGACCACGAGGCGCGGGCGATTGACCAGGTGCCGCTGCTGCTCGACATGCACGAGGACAAGCTGGCGCTGGTCAAGGCCATCGAGAGCGGCGACACGGACCTCATCTACCACGTCCTGCTGCGGCTGATGGCGCAGCTGTCGCGCGGCGACTTTTTCCGCATCGTCCAGGCGCCCATCTCGGACGCGCTCGCACCTACCTCGGCGATCGAGGCGTCTGCGTCTGGGCGCGAGAAGTCCGGGTCCATCGGCGGCGGCGGCGGCGGGGCGAGCGTGCTGGCGGGCACGGGATGGCACGGCCTACAGCCTACGCGGCAGCACCTTGCGCTGGCGTCGAACCTGCTCGAGGTGTACGCCAAGGAGGTGGATCGGGACCTGCTCAAGGACTTTTACTACCAGGACGACCGACGCACCGATTCGGCCCTCGTCGCCCTCGAGGAGGCGTACGCCATCCCCGCCGACAGCGAGGCGCACGTCTCGGACAAGGTGTTTAAGCTCAAGAGCGCCACCAAGTTTTTTCAAGAGGACAAAGAGAGGGTGTTGGAGGTCAAGGTACGCCCCTGCCCGCTCTCCCGCCCGCTGCCCTTTCGGAGGTCGAGTACACCAGGCCCGGCCCTCTCTGCTGACCTCGTCCCCGTCCTGTCCTTTCGAATCCCGCTTTGGTCTCGCAGCTGGTGGAAGAACAGACACGACTACTCGCATTCCAACAGGCACTGGACAAGGAAGACGTCGTCGCCAACAACAGCGGTGGCGGCGGCGTCGGTGCGGGCTACCTCGGTCTTTCGCTCAACGAGACGCTGCGCAAGTGCCTGCGGAGCAACCTGCACAAAAAGGCCGAAAAGCTGCGCAGCGAGTTCAAGGTAAACGATCGCAGGTGGTGGTACATCAAGATGCGCGCCCTCGCCGACGGCAATGACTGGGACGCCCTGTGGAACTTTGGTACGTTGCCTGCCGGGCGCCGCCACGCACGCGCCCCCTCTCTTCGACATGCGGGTTGGTGCCGAAGGGCTAATACGGAGGGGATGCCCGTACACCCTTGGACCCCCCCGCCACTTGTCGCCCGCACGCCCTCTTCGCTCGCCTGCAGCCAACAGCAAAAAGTCGCCGGTGGGCTATACGCCCTTTATCCAACGACTGGTCGAGGCGGGAAACCTGTCCCAGGTACCGCGGTACATGGCAAAGTGCAGCGACAAGGCAGACAAGGCCGCCCTCGTGTACGTCCCCCGCTCCCTCCTCCACGCTCCCCATCCGGAGCGACGAGGGCCAGCGCATCTGACTTGTTCCCTCCTCCTTCCTCCCCTTGCGGGCCTGTTTACCACCACCGATCGATCCCGAAAAGATCCTACATCAATCGCCTCCCCAATGCCGCGGTCGCCAACGAGCTGCAAGCGAGGCTCGACGAGCTCTGACGCGCGTCCCGCCCCCGAACGAGTCGAGTCGAGTCGAATCGAATCGAGTCGAAGCGCGACGCACTGCGGCGGCGACGGCCATCTCGCATCGCGTCGCTTCCGATTCACTACTGTCCCAGCAGCGTCGAGCCGCGAGAGGTATCGCACGCCTCGCACCGCTGCGCCACGAGCGGGTTGAGGAGCGTGCAAATCCGACACTGCCACACTTGGGCCCCGGACTCGCCCGTCTGCTGCCTGGGCGCAGGCGCCGCCGCCGGCATCGGGGCTTTTGCCGTACTCGATCGCCCAGCGGAGACGCCGAGACTTGGGGAGGCGGCCGGCGCCAGACGTGAGCCCAAGCCAGGCGGTGCGATCTCGCCCCTGTCTTCCTCGTCGCTGTCCGAGATGGCGATGGCATCCTCGGCCTTGACCTTGATCGGCGCTGCCGCGACCGCTGTCACTTGTTTTGTGTCATCGACAACCACCGGAGCCGCAGGTGATGGCGGTGCGGTTCGCTGCTCGGCCGTTGGTCGACTCGACCCAGCATTGCCGGATCCGCCGTGCGCCTCCTCCTCCTCGGCCCCGGCCTGGATGTCGCCAGATCTGGGCTGATCTTGAACGACCTGGAACCACTCCGACCACTCCTCGCTCGTCGTCTTGAGTCGGACGTTCGCGCCTTGCGCCCGCTCGTGCTGGCGATAGAGGCGGGCGCGTTCGCGTCGCTGCGCATCCGTCTCGCCGCTGGCCTGCGTCTCGGCCTCCCTCTTGACCTTGCCTTGGCTGCTCCCCGCCGCGGCGGCGGCACCGTCGAGCTCGGGCTCCGTCTCGGTCTCGTCGCTGTCGTCGTCTCCTTCGCCGGCGCCAGAGCCGCCTCCGTCGAGGATCAGGAAGCCGTCGTTCGGGTCCCGGTCCGGCTCCTCCTCGGTCTCGGTCTCCGAGTCGTCTCCGGCATCTGCCGGGCTCGGGTGCGGAAGGAAGCCGTCAAGGGTCGACTGACCGGCTGTCCTAGTCGCCGTTGTCGTCGTCGCTGCCGTCTCGAGCTTTGGCTTCTTTTCGTCCTTCTTGTCATCCCGCTCCTCCGCCGTCGGCTCCGCCTTGAACCTTCCGAGCCCAAGCCGCCGCATGGCAGCCTCAGCGCGCAGCTCCCGCGCCTGGTGGCTGGTCGCGCGCTTGCGGAACGTCGAGTTGGGGTCGTCCTTGTAGCTCTTGGACGTCGCCGAGGCTGTTGGGATGAAGTTGAGGGAGTCCACGCGGCTGCCCTGGCCCGGCAGCTCGCGGTTCAGCCGGCGGCCGCCCTTGGTATTGGCGGCCGTCTGCGCTCCGGTGTGCAAGCTGGGGCCCTTGAAGCCCCGACGCTTGCGCTTGCTACCCGCTCCGGTCCCGGTGCGCTTGCGTTTCGTCTGCCTGCGGTATGCGCCTCCGCACGAGTACTGCGGGAGGCCTTCGAGCTGATTCATGCCCGCCTGCGAGGGTGCGAAGGTGTTGAGCAGGGCAGGGGAGGGGCAGTTGTCGGGACGATCTCGTGTCAGCCATGCCTTCGACGCCCTTCGAGCATGTCGAGACAGGCTCGACGAGCGACGCGGTCTACTCACGCCAGAGACGACAACATTGTCAAACAGCCGCTGGCCGGCCGACCAGAAGCCGTCGCCAAAGTATCCGCGCGACTGGAGGTCCTTGCACTCCTGCTTGAGCTCGCGGTCGAGCTTGCCGTGAAGCGAGGGTACGTGGTTCATGTGCTTGATGTGCGCCAGCTCGTGGCAGAAGACCATGAGCACCCACTGCAGCGGGGCGAACGAGCCGTCCTGCCGGCGGAGCACCAGCTCGACGTTCTCGCCGGCGTTCCAGTCTGGGTGCCCCGGCGACAGCACGGCAGGATAGCAGAGGAGGGTCGGATTGGATCAGCTTGAGCCTGCGACGGCGGCAACAGGCGTCGCGCCCACAAGCTCGGTACTGACTGCGCCCAGCGAACTCGCGATTCCACTCGAACTGTCCACCGAGGTCGGAGAACCGGACAAGGTGAGGTGAGTCAGTCCGATGCAGCCTGCCTCTACAGGCCAAAGCTCGTCTCCCGCGTGTTCACGACTCACCTCCTCGAGAGAGTTGATTTGGAACCCGTGGTTTTTCATGACGGGCTTGACCTGGGCGGCCAGTTGGCATAGCCTTCGTCTCGCCTCTTCATGGTCCGGGCTGATTGCGGACGAGCAGGACAAGGGGGTGAGTAACCGAGCTTCGGGAGAGCGGGCACCAACGTCACCTGACCCAAATCGCTTGATGGCTCACAAGTGGGGCAATGCTGTGATATAGTTGATGTGCTCGTTGCGAGATGTGTCGGGGTCGTTGAGGCGGAGGTGCTGTCGGATGGCGGATCGATGGGCGGCCTCAGCGCTTGGTCTTTAGACGACTGCCGGGAGGAGGTGCCCAGGTTACTCACGACCATCGCTGCAGACTGTCGCCAAGATGGACTGCCTTGGAGGCCTTCTGCAAGCTAAGACAGGCGAGCGGGCCTGAACTGCGCGGGTGGCAATGGCGTCGACGGTGGTCGTGGTGTTGGTGGGGGTGTTGGGTGTTGGGTCGGGCTGGTGGCTGAGCTTGCCGGCGGGTGTGTGCCCGCATGCCTCAGCCAGCCTCCTGGCCTGCCACGCCAGGCCAATGTGGAGGGCATGGCATGGCATGGCACCCGCCTTCCGAGTTTTTTTCTTCCAGCGCAGCCCGGCTGCCAGCACGGCGGGACAGACCAGCAGGCCAAGCCAGGCCTCGGGACCGAAGCCGAAACCTCATCGGCTCTGGGTCGGCGTGGTCAGGCCGGGCCAGCCAGGTCGGCCAAGAGTGCGTCTCGCTTGCCGGCTGGGCTTCCTTCCTTCCTTCGTTGTCCAACCCCGCCGTGCGTGGTCGCCAAGCCAAGCCTGGCAAGCCAGCACATGCTCTAGGCACACGGCCGGAGCAAGCATGCGTCGGACCACGCTGCGCCTTCTCTGCAGCGACCGCACGGCCTGCTTTCGGCTCCTTTGCCACCCGACCGAATCAGCTGAGTCGGCACCAACACGCCCCCAGGCCAGCAGGCAGGCAGACGAGGGTGCGATCATGGTCGCCGTTGGTCCGCCTGCCAGCTTGTCGCGCCTCGTCCACGCTCGTGCACGACGTCCTCCACGGTGCCTAGCGCGCCATGTCAACGCCTGCGCAGCAGATCAGCCCATCTATCATCGCTTCCAGTAGACAAGAGGCCGGCAGCGATGAGCCAATGCCCAAAGTCGGCCGGCTCACTCTGGCCCGGCCGGGCGTGAAAGGACGTCTACGTCTTCTCCCTTTCCTGCTCGCCGCCGTCCGGACCTGGACCTCTCAGATCGCTGGGGCAAAGGACGTTGACGTCGCGGACGAGAGGTGGCGCTGCAGGCCTCCTTTGCCGGCGAGTCCTTGCCGTCCGACTACTGCAGTCGAGGCCGTCGTACAGTACGTCGTCAGTGCGCTGGTCGACACCGCCGGCCTTTGGCCTCCTCGCTTCGCCCCTGCCTTCCTCTTCGAGTTCGTCCTTCCCTTGCCTCCCAGCATGCATCTGCTTCGACGAAAAGCAAGCAGGCTAGGCAAGGATGAAGGGCCCTCCTGCCTTATGCATGCGAGCGGCTTTCGGTATCCACCAGCCGACTGCACGCACGCAAGGCGTCCTTGCAGTAGCAGCATCGGGTGCCAGACAACCCGCAGCAACGTCGTCGAGTCTCGACGTCTTTAAGCTTTGGCTCGCCGCCCTCTTCCGACCAAAACGCAGGCTAAGCCTAGCCTGTAGCAAGCTGCCGGACGCCATACGCGCATGCGTAGCTGTACGTGCAAGCAGGCAGGCAAGGCGAGCTTCGACGTCGCATGGAACCGAGAACGAGTCGTCGCGACCAGAGACGTATACGTATGGGTCGGAGCAGCGTACGTAAAAGGTACCGGGCACGGCACAGAAGCAGGCTAGGTCACAAAACGCACTAAGATGGAAGTTTGCAAGTGAGTACATATACCTACTATACCTAACTTACTCTTTGCATGGGAACCACCCGGTGGCGGCCAAGGTGCGGTCGACCTTTGAGCGCAGCACGCTGCTACAGGTAGGCCCACCTTGCCTTGCATTGCTTCCACCGCTTATGACAGGACAGTGGGGGCCGAGAAGCCGAGCGCTCAGACCTCGTCGTCTTGTCTACGCCTGGCATGCACCTGTCAGCTCCTCCTCTCCCGAGTCTGGGTACCCCCTTGCCTTCTTGCGCAGGAGCGGACAGCCTGCTCAGCAAGCCACACCTCGCTCAGGCCTTGAGTGCCTGCACATGGTATCGTGCTCATGACGACTCGAAGAGCCTGCTGGGCAGCACGGCGAGTTCCGAACAAGGCCGCAGAAGCGCACCGATCAACTCACACCATCGCGACCGGCCAGAAGGAAGCCGGCAGGATCCTCGCGCAAGAGCGTGGGTGAGTACATTCGGTGTTTGTTCTGCTCTGCCTAGATGTCGGGGCTGGCAGAGGGGACCGGATGAGCCACAGGGATGGCTTCCTTTGCCACTCCTGGTCGACATCTGAGATCCCGGGCAGTGGATCATCAAGCCCTCGATGGCTGTTGTCGCCACCGGGGCGGGCCGTGTGGACGACCGCGTACCGGCAGCACCGCTCGTGTCCGGCAATGGGCCGTCGCCGTCGGACGCCCGCGTGTCAGCCGCGCGGCGAGCACAGAGGCCGTCCGGCGGCGTCCTGGGTTGCTGCGATCCTGTACAGACGGTACGGCGGTCGGTACCCGCATTCGTTGCCCCAAGATGTCGGTGGTGAGATCGGGCTGGGGTGCATGGCAATCCCGGTTGCTCGGTGCGAGACCGCACCGAGACCGAGCAGCTGCAAGCAACGACGTGATCGCGTCGCGACCCGGACTGTCCCGCATGGCCACCAAGGTCAACGCACGGTGGGTACATCCACGCTGCCGTCCTTGATGGCACTTCAGCGCGCGCGCCATCGTCGGGTCGTCACGTTGCTGGACACCCAAAATGAAAACGACGAGAAAAGAAAGGGCAAGGAAATGTTCCGCCGCGCCCTTGGGCGAGACATGAGATCTCGCATCACGTCGCACCGAAGAGGCTGCTGGGGCCAGGCGCACGTACGCGCAGGCGTGAGCGTGGGCTAGGTTACCCGTGGCACGAACGCCGCGCCCGCTCCTGTTCAGCTGACGCACGTTGCGTCGGGGCGTCCGCGTCAACGCCCGCGCCGCGACCTCGAGATCAATTTGCGCCGCGATCCGGACCCCACCACCACACGACGGGACGGACCAGGGCGAAGCGCGGAATCTCGGATCGGCACGGATCGAGCCCGGATGCGCAAACTCGCTCCATCCAGTCGACTCAAGCTTGGGTGCCAGGCTCGACAGAGCGTAGCAGCAGGTACGCCCAGGGGCAAGCAAGCAAGCAAGGCAAGACCGTCGAACGAGGGTCAAAGGCAGCAGGCAGGCAGGTGTAGGCACATGCATGGGCTGGATTCAGCGGCGGCGGAGCCCAGAGTTTACGTCGTGCGCGGTTGACATGCTGACAGCCAGGCCCGCAGCGCGGAACGGGCGGGGCGCCCATCAGCATGCATGCATACATGGCTCCTCGTCCGCTCAAGCTCAGCCTAGCCTGGCTTGACACCGCCACCGCCCGTCGTGATCATACATCTATCGTCGTCGAAGCGAACAGGTCGTGGCTCGCCGTTCATACAGCGTTTCATACAGTTCCATCGCGCGTGCCGTGACGCTCAATCCCTGCCTGCCAGGCCTCGCTCTTCACTGGCTTCTCACGTCGAGCAGGTTTACGTACTGGACGGGCCGTCGCCGCACCGGGCCACTACTCGCTAGACTGAGCACGGGGGCGAGGTCTCGGATGCTGCAGATGGGCGCAGCTGCTGAGCCTAGCCCAGCCCTAGCCTCGCCCCCCGTCTGCCCGCCTGCTCGCTGTTCTGGAGGAGGCCAGGCCTGCCTCTTTCAGAAAAATTTCTACGCCTGCCCACGCAGCCCAGGTTTGGCTAACTTTTGGCCCATACGCACGGCCTGGAGAGGTTTGCGTTCGCCAGCCTACCGGTGCTGAAGCAAATGAGAAATGAACAGCGCCACACAGAGCCTAGAGGGGGGTGCCGCTGCTGAGCCCCACCACCACCACGGTACGCCTTGAACGCTGCGCGCCCCTTGGCAGTCGAAGGCCAGGCAGGCATCGTCCAGACGAGGATGCCGGCGCGGACGAGCTGTCTGCACACGTACTGTACGTACGCCTGTACGCGTACGCGCGCCGATTGGTGGTTTTGTGAGCCCAGGCCTGGCCTCCAGGTCTCCTGCCTGCCGCTGGCTGCTGCGGGTGGCGAGATGGTGCAAGCCGTCGCGCATGCGTCCATCTCGACCAGGCCGGCCTGCCTGTTTTGGCCCGTGGTCCTTTTCGTCCAGCTGGCCTGCCCAGCCTGTCGGGTATCCTGCCTGAATATCGATCGCGCTTGCTTCGTTCGTTGCTTCCTTATTTCTCGCCCCCTCGCCTCGCCTGGAGACGCTGACGGCTTCGGCAACATGGCGAACGGTGCGATGTGCTCGCACCGCTAGGCCTGGCCTGGCCTGGCTGCTGCCGTGCCGTCATCCCCGGCCTCCTGCCTCGCTGGCCTGGCCTTTTCACCTAGCCTAGGACTCTGCTCGGCCCCTGTCTCTGTCCGAGTCGCTCCAGTCACCGCCTGCAGCTGCCAAACCGGGAAGCTGCCGCCTGTGTGGCGCCCCGTGGACTGGGCAGGCCCTCGCTCTCATGATGGACTACTGTATGTACTCTGAAGCATGCGCAGTGGCTTCGCTCGGGTGGGCGAGAGAGCCACGCACGGGCAGACAGCAGCTAGGCTAGCTAGCCGTACCAAGGGCGCCCGGCCTACGGGTCGACACGCCGGCCGGCTGTCAGCCTGCCAGAGGCCTGGCCTCTTCTGCAGCAAAGGAAAAAGCAGCTGCCACCCCACCCAGCCTGCCTGCAGCCTGCCTGGCCTGGCCCAGCCGAGGGAAAGCGAGAAGGGCAGAGGGGCCAGGCTGGCTGCCGGCTTCTCGACAGCCTGGCCGGGCTTGCCGTTCCACTCGGAAGCCAGCCCTCCTTCCTTGCTCGTCCTGGCCTGGCCTGCCTGCCGGAGCCTTCGGTCGCCCGCTCACCTCCCGCGCTTCGCTCGCCTTCCTTCACGCATCACCACCAACACGGACGCTGCTCGCCGTCGCCGCCACCGTCTCCCATCCGCCTTGCTCTCTCCTCTCGCCATCTCTGTCCACGCCGGCTTCGCCCGATCGCACCACGACCGCCCCCATCCCGCCACACCTCTGGCGCCTTAAACGCCCGTCGTCTCACCACAGCACAGCACCCTATACCCCAACGCGGCCGCCTCGACCTCCTGCACCGGTGCTGCCCGTCCCATCGTATGCTTCCCTCGACAACCTAGGCCTACACTCTTGCTCAGCGACGCTCGCGCCTTTGACGACGTCAGAAACCTCGAGCCGAATCGTCGCTGCTGTCGCCTTGGTTCCGCACCCGAACTGCGCTCTAGCCTCGACTCGCTGCGACGTCCGACCGCGCCTCAGCCCAAAAGGCCAGTCTACCGCCGTCGCCCCGGGCAGCCTGCATCGTCTTCTGCTCCCGGCGACAATCCGCATTGTCTTGCTCGCACGTACCCTCCAGCGCCGCCGGCGACATCGAGCAGATCAGCTCGTCCAGACTGCCGTTGGTTGTCGCCCCTCTCCGACCCACTCTTCACACCTTGAGCCTGAGTCTGCGGCTACTCCCTCTGGAGCAAGGCCACGCTCTCGGCGGGGTGAGCTGTCAGCCAAGCTCGTCGCTCTCGTTCCGCTTGGCCAACTGAATAGACCGCGCTCCTGCGTCCGCGCCCGCACCCCAACTTTCGCCCGACCTCCGAGCGCACAGTGTCGACAACTCTGCCCTCGTGCGCCGGACTTCTTCTTCCGTGGGCTCTGTCGTCTTCCCTTGTCTCTAGGTTTACGGCCTCGACCCGAGCAGCGCAGTGAGTTGACGAGAGGAGGTGGCAACGGTTCTTGGCTCGTCCTCTCGGGACGCCGGCCGCGCCCGCTAGCCTGCGCATGTGGTCTCTGACCACGAGCAAAACCCCCCTTTCCTTTCGTACAGTCAGCCGCGAGAAGCCCTTCCGAATGCACTTCTGAGCCGGCAAAGACACGCTTTCCCCGCCAGCAAGCTCACTTGCTTCAGCAGAACGACCGGCCGACATCGCCATGTCCGCCTTGGACGGTGCTGCCGCCAACCATCGAGGAGGTCCAGCTTCCATGCTCCAGTCGCGACGCTTTGACACCTATGCGCAATCTCCGACCTCGACTCCCTCCGCTCCCCGCAGACGACCACAGAAGATGAGCCCGTACACATCACCGCCGCATGCCAATGCCGACCTGATGGCCTTCTCAACAGCGATAGCCAGGCCGCGGGAGCCGACCGCGCGGCTAGCGTCGCCGCACTCGCAGGCAGTCGCGTCGTCGAACGGGGATGATGGGATCGTTGCGCACCCTTACGCTGCGCCGCCCTCGAGCGACACATTGCAAGCGCAGATTGGAGGATCGGCTGGCCGCCCCGTCGGGTCCGTCGTTGCACCGGTCAGCGGACTCCAGGTCCCGGGTACGGCGGCAGCAGCGGTGCCCCCTCTGGGCTCGGAGCTATTCGATGCCATCGTCCAGGCGGCCGATCCCCGTCACCCTGACCACGCCGCATGGCAGGAGCGGTACGGCAGCCTGGCGAGCCGGTCTTCGCGCAACTCGGCCTCGAGCCAGTCCAAGAGAGAGCGGGTGGAGCAGCAGCGCACCGGCGCATCTCCGGTTCCCAGCCGAGCTTCACAGGACCAGGGCCGGACCGATGCCGCTGAGCCATCCCGACGGAAGCGCGACTCCCTCAAGAGCGTGCGGCGAGGTCGCCCGGCGGTATCGCAGCATGCGGGCCTCCGCGATTCGGACGCCGAGGACTCGTCGGAACCTTCCGATGGTCTCGCGCACGGCGGCGAAGCGCCTGGCGCCTGTCGCATCGGCAGGATCGGGACGAGCGAGCACGGCTCGTCTCCGAGACTGGCGCGCTCCAGCTCGGGCGGAAGCGCCGCCAAGGCGAGGCGGAGGCGACGGCCAACGGACAAGGGCAAGATGCGCGCACCACCGCTGCCCATTCCGCCACCCAGAGTCACGAGCTCGACGCGGTGGCAAGCAACCTACGGCTCGCCCGCTCCAGACCAGCAACAACCGTGGCAGCCAGAACCTACTCCGCCTTTGCCTCCCCCTCACCCGGCCTCGACGTCCGTGGTCGGCTCTGCGCAACCAGCGCTGTTAGAGGGAGGCCGCCGGCTCGCCTCCAAGCCTCCAGCCGCGCTGCCTGGGCCCCAGCTGCCGTCGGGTCCGCACGCGCTGTCGGAACGCCACCGCCAGGCTCAGAGGAACACCCGTCCGCTCCCTCCTCTGCCCACAGAGCATGTGTCTTCGCCGACGTCGAGGACATTTGCGGTCTCGGCCGGCAAGCCCGCTTCGTTCGCTGACCCGGCAAGCCCCAGCAGCATCTCGTACAGCCACCACGCGGCGAGCGCATCGCTTGGCCATTCCAACAACAGTTCCGTCTCGGTGCCAGGATCCAGCTCCTTCCACACTCCGGCCACAGCCGCCACCTGGAACGAGGCGGGACTCAACTCACCCACGTCCGCCGGCGACTCGGATCGCAGGCCCCGTGGCCGGACAAAGACGCTCGAAAAGGGCTTCTTCAGCTTGCCTCGTTCCATGTTCAACCACAAGCCGTCGCAGCGATCCCTCGACGCTGACGCTCGCTCGCCGACTTTGAGCCCGCCCTCGCCGATGGTGCCATCGCGTCCCAGCTACGACGCCGGCAGCGGTCGCCTCAAGTCGGTGTCAAAGATCCAGCAGATCTTCGGCAACGAGGTGGTCCAGCCCGAGCCCACGTCGGGGCCTGGCAGCGCACGGAAAACGTCGATGCAGGTCCCGCGGGTCCCCGTCCCTTCGCTCCATGCGCCGAACGATCCTCAACGGGCCCGCCAGCGCAGCATGGACGTCGTGAGGACGCTTGACCAGCGCGTCTTTCCGATGCGTGGGGACGAGGAGTTCCGCTCCAACGAGTTCGAGATGTCCGACAGCGAAGATGGCATGGACGTCGAACCAGGCGCCTCCTTTCTGCCCACCAGCTTTGCCTCGTCCCCAGCGGCTCGGCCCAGTCCACGACCGGGCTCCCGTGCGCCTGGCGTCGTTCGGCGTAGCCTCGACTCTATCATCTCGCCGTTCCGGGCAGGCCTCGTCAGCAACTCCAAGTCAAATCGCAGTGCCGGCCCGCTAGAATCTGTCGGGCCGATCCACGGTCCCAAGTCGCCGGATGTCGGACGTCAAAGCATGGACACCGCCAGGGAAGGCCGGCGAAGCATGTCCGAGTCGCGGCTCGTGCGTCCTTTCCTACGGCAACGTCCGACCAAGGCCGGCGGCCGGCCACTCAGCAGGGTGACCGACGGTCCCGAGCCCGCCGGCGACGAAGTGCTGCCACCGGCCAAGACACGAGGCCACGGCGACTATGGCGTCATCGACAGCGACAACGAGGACGGGCACGAGTGGCGTGCCCAGCACTACGATCCGCGGTCGTCGACCCTGGTCGACCCCGGCCATGCCGCCGGTCCCAACGGGCACCGCTCGGACGCTGCGCCGACACCCAGGCCGACCTTCGCCGAGGCCTTCAGCGGCGACGCCGGCGCCACGGGGGGCGTCCAAAGGCGTGGACACGAGCGGCTGCTTCCGGCGGCGGAGCTGAACGAGCGTCGCACCGAACATCGCCGCCTTGGAGCCGAGCCGAGTGCTGCGATGCACTCGCGCTCCGCAACGTCGCTGCGGGAGGCTGCCATGGGCGACGAGAGCACGCTGAGGTCAGCAAGTCGACAAGCACCTCGCCATCTCAAGGCGTCGAGGGAGGAGACGAGGATGCCGTCTTCTCCGGCCATCCCGAACGGGTTCACCGACCTCTCCTCCGAGGACAAGAAGAAGATCCTGGCGCAGAACACCTACTTCCTCCCCACGAGGGAGTCGCGCTCGCGGCCGCCATCGGCCAATGGGTCCTCGAACGCCCACGGAAACGGTGCGCCGAATTCCGAGAGCCAGCACAGCGGTTTGCTCCACGGCTCGCTAGCCAGCGCCAGCAGCTGCCGAAGCCTCGCCAGCTCCTATACCCAATCGACATCCGCAGTGCATATGGCTACGCCCCACAGCACCAACGAGCTCAGCTTCGACAGCCTATCCAAGCAGTCGGCGACGCCCACCTCGCAGTCTCGCGGCAGATTCGCCGGGCTCTTCTCGCGGGTTAAGGGCACCCTGACACCGGGCAAGACGCCCCCGAGCACCTCCTTGTCCAGCTTCAACTCTCCGGTCAGCACCAACATCATGACGCCGAGCCAGAGCGTCGAGGCCGGCTTCTCCCACTCTGCCAGACTGCCGCAGGCGGACAGGTTTGAGAACCGCTCCGGGGACCCCAGCCCTCCGCTCGGATCAGGCGTCAATGGCTCACCTGCCGGTCTCGGCTTCCGCTACGAGGCCGAAGAGGCCAAGGGCAGCAAGAAGAAGCAGGACTTCCCACGCCGCCTCAGGGCCAAGTCGCTCGCCTCGGGCCGGAAGAAGGGCAAGTCACCCGGCCTCGACGGTCCCGAGAACTTCGAGACGTTCATCTCGACCATGCGACCGGGCGAGAAGATCTCGACGCTCGACGAGGACTGGCGGCGGAAGCTGCTATCGGAGGCCGTCGACCTCAGCTTCGGCAATCGACCACTACAGCCGACCCCACCTGTTCGGTCACCCAGCTCACAGGACCTCGAACACGCCGCCGCTGTCGTCGTTCCGCAGTCGCCATCGGCCGCCGAGACGTCGCCGGCGCCCCCCTCGGACGGTCAGGCGCCTGAGCAAGGTCCGAGGAGCCTCGGAAAGCTTCTGCGCAAGAAGAAGACGGCCGAGAACCTCGACGAGCTCATCCAGAGCTTTGTAGCGACGCCTCCGAAGATGTCGCATCTCGATGTCGCTGAAGAGGGGGCGCCTCGACCTTCCATGTCTTCGGTCCGCGGGTTCGATGTGGCGGACCCGGACGAGGGGCTGCGTGTGGCTGGCAGCTCCGCTCCACTCACCATCCGCAAGACGCTCAGCCCGGCGCTCCTCAGCGACACCGTCGATGCGCGGCGCGACAGCATGCTCGAGGCCGGCAGCGACGATGGCAGGGCGTCCCCTCGCGCAGACGACGCCGACGACTTTGCCGAGGTGCTGCAGTCGACGACGAACTCCCCCAAGGTCGACGACACAGAGGTGCTTGCCGAGCGCGACGACGACCGCGATGCCGTCCAGGCACCAATGCGGCGCTTCATCCGCCGCCACGCCTCGATTGACCGGCTCTCGCGCGTCGATGAGACGAGCGTCAAGGATTCTCTATCGAACGACAGCACCGACAGCTCATCGGCCCGGCCCTCGCTCTCCGTCCCGGTCAGTCCGCTGCCGCGGTCCTTTGGCGAGCACCGACAGATCCGCCGCAGCATCAGCGGCACGCTGCAGCCGCCGACCGTGCCGCGCGCGCTGGAGCTGGGCGGCGCCACTCCAGGCCGCTACGAGTACGGCAAGCGCAGCATGGACGTCGGCCGTCCGCGCAACCTGGACCAGCTCGTCCTCGGCGCGATGCAGCCTCAGCCGTTCCCCAGCGAGGCATCGCCCCTGCCTTCGCCAACGGTGCAGTTCCAGGAGACCAAGAGTCCGAGGAAGATGAGTTTCGGCGACAGCCTCTCGCCGGCCTGGTCCCGGCCCTCGTTCAACATCCAGCGCAGCGGCCGCACCTCGTTCTCCCAGGACCGCGACCGCGCCCCTGTGGCTAGCCCGATCAGCCCGCCCAAGAACTACGGTTCAAAGTCGCCTGCCCTCGTGCAGGCCATGAAGAAGCTGCGCGTCCCCGGCAAGCGCAGCAAGTCGTTCAGCAAGGGCATCGGTCCCGGCGACGTCATCATCCCCGATTTCGACGACTACGACTTTGACGAGTACGATGACGGCGGCGCCTTTGAGGGCTCGCGGCCCTCGATGAACCTGGCACGGCCGAGCATGAGCGGCTCGCGTCCGAGCATGAGCGGCGCACGGCCGAGCATGAGTGGCGTGCGGCCGAGCATGAACCTGGCCAGGCCCAGCGTCAATCTGGAGCGCAAGAGCTTCGACACGTCGAGTGCCGGCGCCGGTCGCAGCAGCCTCGCCTCCGCCGAGATGATGACCCGGCTGCTGCAGGTCCACACCGACGCCATGGTCGCCACGCCTCTGACGGCCACCTTCCCGCACGAGGCCTCAGAGATGCCCGGCTCGGCATCTGCTGCAGACGCCGGGATGGCCTCGGAGACGGACGCTTCGGTGCACACGGCGGCCGAGTACTCGGCAGACAGCATGGTCGGTCTCGGTATCGGCACGCTCGCCGAACTGCCCAACGCCTCCAGGCCCAGCCTCTCTGCCTCGACGTCCAATGGCGATCTGCGCGGCCTGAGAATTGCAGACGGCCACGGCAACAATCTGCTCAAGACGCCCGACGCTGCGTCGCTTAATGGCAACGGCTTCGTCTATGTGCCCAAGACGCCGGAGCTGATGGCGTTCGAGGACATGCTGGGCCGGTTCGGCCAACGGGAAAAGGAGCTGCTCAAGGACATCTCGTCCCGCGTGGGCACGACGCCGGCACAGACGCCCGGTCTCGGCCACGGCGACGGCCAAAAGGACTACGACTTTGGCGCATTGGCCAAGGCCAAGACGGAGGCTGCCAGCAGCGGAAGCGGCAGCACAACGAGCTCCAAGAAGGCGGCTGGAGACGACCTCAACCACCACGCTCCTTGACGTTTCCCCTCCTCGCTCACGCGCTTGGCCCTGCACCGGTTTTGCTCGTTCTTTTCACCACATCGCATCGCATCACATCACATCACATCACATCACATTGGCCATGTCCGGTCACGGTGGCATATCTTGTAGACCGCATCGGCGCGACGACACATACATTCCTTTCGATGACACATACATTCCTTTCGATGCCGATCCAACGCGATCCGTCGCTGGCCAGACTGAGATGACCTCAGTCGCACTCGAGCTCGTCGACCTCTTTCGACTCGTCGCTGTCCTTTCCCTGACCAGCCTCGACCTCCTCATCGACGGCCGTGTCTGACCCGTCCTCGATGCCTTCCGAGGGCTCGACGACGTCCTCATACCCATGATCCTCCCGCTCTTCTTGACCCTGCGAGCTCTGCCGCGGCTCGGCGATCTGTCCCTGCTGATTCGACAGGAGGGCAGCCGCCTCTGATCTGGCCCTTCTGAACGTCACCGACTCGGGGAATGCGGGCGATGTACGGGCCGGGCGACTGCTCGAATCGAGGCGAGCGCCTGAAGCGGCGCGGGCCCTTTCGTATCGCCGTCCGCCGACGTCGTCGGGGAGCCACCGGAACGAGACGCGCGCGGGTCGTCGATGCTGCTGCAGCTCCGCGACGAGGGCCCGGATCTGCGCCGTCATGGCCTGGCCCCCTCGTTGGTCGCCCACCCACCCGGCGCCGAGCCGCTGCAGGGGTGGATCTGGAGCTGCAAAAGACGTCGATGCGCGTCCAACGGAACTTGCCGTTCTACGCGGACCTCGTCGACGACGCGGCCATGTCGAATCTGGCGCGTTTTGCGGGTCTCTTTGCGCCGGCGTCGACGGTATTCGAGCCGAAGCACACACCGGCCGCGTCCGACGTCGTCGTAGAGAGGCCCTGTGTCGGTGCCCTCGGCGGGACAGCTTGCAGCTCCCTCGCTGCCAGGGGAGGCGAGTGCGTCAGGTCGATGTAGATGGGCGGCCTCTGCGCCGCCTGGACCTGGAACTCGTCGCGGCGGGACCGGAGCGATGGGCACCGCGCATTCCTAGCCGCCTGCTGCGTCAAGCACGACGTCAGCGCGAGGTGTATGGCCCGCAGCTCAACGTCGAGCTCGGTCATCGTCGTCAAGTCAAAGGTGACGGTGTCTGTCCACGACGAGCTGGGCCACGTCGACGTAGCGTTGACGGCCGCCGCGCAGAGCGGATCGGCGTCCCTCACGCAGGTCGCGGTAAAGACGCTGACGTGCGGTCCGTCGGCGTCTTCTGCGATGCCCGGCTCGATGTCCGCGCAGTCTTCCTCGGCGGAGATCTGGACGTCCAGGCTGACCCACTTCCACGGCGGCGGCCAGGGCGGCATCCCAATCTGCTCAACCTCGGAGTCGAAGCAGATCGAAACCGCCCTCAGCGGGTCTGGAAGCGCCGTTCGAGTCGCTTCGAGGTCGAGATCGCCGCCGCGCTTGAGGAAGAACGCTTCCCGGCACGGGACTCGATCGCTGTCGCCGAGGACCGAGGAGAGGTGATGCGGCGCTTGTCCGGACGGATCGAGCGTGATGTGCCGCAGCGCCCGAGCGAGGACGCTGGCGGGGCCCTCGGAGCTGAGAGTGCGCAGACCGAAAACGAGCGCCTCTTTCCGCCAGCGACGTTCGGTCGCCATCCAGCCATGCTCGCGCCACAGGACGGACGAGGTTGGTAGCGACGTGGTCGGCACTGCAGCGCTGTCCGGGGCAAAGATGAAGCGCAGGATGGCGCTGTCCGCGCTCCGCAGCCGGTCCTGCTCCGTCGATCGGAGCGGCAGGAGGACGGCAGAGGCCTCGTCGAGGATGGGGAGCAGCTTGTCGAAGACGATGCTCTTGCGTGCCTCGATGCTTGGCCATTGGCGGGACCTGTCGAACGCCCTCTTGATCTTGCAGACGCACCGCAACACCTTGCTGCATGCGACGTCGACATGGCCCCAGGTGTTGAAGTTGGCGTCGACGGATACGCCCAGGACATCGACCGACTGGCTGGCAAAGAGCTTGGCGCCATCCTTGAGCTTCAAGCATGCCGCCGACGCCGCGTCTGGCTCTTGGCGCCCGGAGCAAGTGGTGAAGACGAGCTCCGGCATACAAAGGCCCCGCTGGTTGCACCACAGGATAAGTCGTTGAACCAGTCCTGCAGCGCCCTGGTGGCCCTGGAGACAGACTCGGCCTCGGCCACGACAAAGACCCTGTCGCCGTGCGCGCCCTGCAGCGCGATGCCGGGCATCGTGTTGACTCCGCGGAAGAACGAGTTGAGGCACAGCGTCGGCAACACATCCGGCAGGGGCGCACCGAGCGGGAAGCCGACGAGGCCCAGCCCGAGGTCGGGCGACGCCGTGCCTCGGAGCGAGAGGGTAACGACTCGGCCAAATAGCCAGGACCTCATCCATGCCCCAAGCGATTCGAGCCCGTGGGCCCGGAACTCCTCGCCCAGCCGGATGTGCGTCATGTCCTGGAGACTCGCACCCATGTCGACGACGGCACACGCAGTCGACCGGCCCGCACGCAGCGTGTTGCGGCCCTTTTCAAGCACGCTGGCCGTCACCCCGAGCGCCGAGCCGTACCGGACCCATCGGGGGAGCTTGCCCGCGCACAGGAAGCGGAAGCGCGCCGCGACGATCGTGTCGACCACGGTGCTTGCGGCGCAGGGCACCCAGGTCAGCTGGTAAGAGCCGGTGGCAGCGGCCGGTGGCTCCGACGACGACGACGATGGCGACGACGAGGCTGAGCAGCTGCCCGCGACGGGCACCACGGCCACCCGCGACTCTTTCCACTGGTCTGGCAGGGTGCCCTGGCGTAGGCACCGGTCGAGCAGACGAAAGAAGCGCCCCCTAAATGCCTCACACTGCCGATTCGCTCTGCGCAGCGCCCGCGGTTCGAGACCGTCCCGGCCCGCTGGCCGGCTCTCGTCGAGCGCGTCGAGCGCCTCTGTGAGCTCGCTCGTGTTGAGCGGCTCGAGGACGCTCTTCCTCTGCACCGCCTTGGGCCAGAGCTCGCACTTGGTCACCAGGGAACAGCGCGGAAAGCGGGCCCGCGTGAATGCTTGCAGCTCCTCTTCAACGTCGACAGCGCCGCCGTCGCTAGGGGATGTGGCTCCCATCGCGGCTTTCTTGGCTCTGCGCACGGCGCTGTTGAACATCCTCTTGCTGTGCAAGGGGTCGTCCGGTGGCCGCCGACGGCTTCCTTGTGGGTCCAGAGAGTCGAGGAGCGCATGGAGCTGAAGCGCCCATTCCTCCGTCGCGTCGTCCTCGGCTTTCGAGGCGTGCAGCAGCTCTGTCAGCCTCTGACCATATTCATCGGCCATTTGCGAGGGCCCAGATGTGGGGATACCGATGCTTGCTCGCCCTTGATGGCGGGGTTGGTGCGGCCGGGCGAAAAGGGCCCTGGGAGCCTTGCTCCGTCGAAGAGCAGGATGCAGGGGGGTAGGCCCTCATATCCCTTCCTGCCCACCTCGACGGAGCGGCGGCAGGCGAACGGGCGACGGACGCACGCAGGCGGACAAGGGGGACCGAAGTGTGGCGACGCGTCGAGCGAGGCAGGGACAAAGGGGATTTAGGGGGCAGATGTGGTGGGGGAGGGCGGTGGCTCACAACGGGCGGGCCTTTGTAGAGGCGCCGGACCATGCCCCGTCGCTCGCCTCGCTCTCGTCCCCCTCCATCTGTCCTCGTACGGATGTGAGAGCAGCTACAGTAGGGCATCGACGTCCGGCCCGCGTGGTCCGGCCCTCGAGCCGCCGAACGACAATCGATGACTTCCATTATTAATTCATGTTTGGCCGCAGGGCAGAGCGGTGGCACGCCCCGAGATGGCTCGTGGCCGGGGCGCTAGGCCGGGCGCTATCCCGTGCGCATACGCCCCGTGCGAGTGCACGCACAAATGAAGACGAGGTCCGTGAGGTGCATCCATGACCACCGAAGCGGTCAGCCCACTCACAACAAAGACTCGGCCCGTCGCCAAACGCCCTCGCCGGGCTGCCGATCCACTCTCTTTTACAAACATTGATATACGCAAATTTTGAATTAATTGCCAGCTCGTCCTGGTTAGTACAATGGTTAGTATAGGACACTCTCAGCGTCGGTCTCCACACGGAGGACGAGCGCACTGTTCAGATCGGGGTTCGATTCCCCGGCCGGGAATACCTTTTGCCTCTCATTTTGTCGCCCACTGGATCTACGGCGGCGTATCAGGGATGCGGTGGACCGCTGCAGAGGGCCGACGGAAGACTGGGCTCACTCAGCTGCATTATTGCAAGCTCGTGATGCCCTGCTCCTGGCTTTGGGCGATCCGTGTACCGTGGGACTGGCCCCGCACTTGTCAGGCCCTCGAGTATATATATATGTTAAATTCGGTAGAATTTCCATCTAGTCCTGGTTAGTACAATGGTCAGTATAGGACACTCTCACTGTTCTTCTTCTCCTATTGCGGATGGAAGATTGTGCTGTTCAGATCGGGGTTCGATTCCCCGGCCGGGAACTTTTTTGTTGTTTCTGGACCAGGTGCGAGAGCAACACGTCGCGTCTGCGGAGAGGTCGAGGCTCCGGCAGGCGGGCAGGCGGGCAGGCTGGCAGGGCTGAGGGGAAACTGGGCCCACGCGACAGGGCCTCCGCAGGCAGGCAGGCGAGGCGAGGCGAGGCGAGGTGGGGCACGTCCCTCTCCACATCCCTCTGGCCTGGCCTTCTTCCACCACGATCCCACGACCCCGCGCGCTTCCGCCTCGTCTGGCCTGGCCTCGCCCGTATCTCTTGTCTTTCCCTCACTCGCTCCCTCGCCCGCTCAATCCGCCCTCTCTTGGCTGTTTCTCCTGCTTCTACTGCACGTCTCCACACGCCCGCCCGCTCGCCATGTCCGACACCGAGTCGCAATCCGAGGCGTCTGGGCCCACCTCCGACGAGCTCATCGAGCGGGTCAGCGCCATCATCCGAGAGGCAAAGGCCGACGGCACTTTCAGGTGAGTGCATCGTGTCGCGCGCTACCGGCACGCGACGGGCTGGTCGACCGCTCGCTCGCCATCGGTCCTGACACGGCCCGCTACACTTCTGCGCTGGCTCGCCCAGCGAAATGACCAAGCGCACGGTGCGCGAAAAGGTGCAGGAATTCTACGGCGTCGACCTCCGCAGCAGGAAGAAGTGGCTCAACGACGTCATCCAGAACAAGGTGGTGCGTTGCCATGGACCCCCTCGCCCTCGTCGAGCTCGCATGCTGACATGTCGCCACGCCTGCGACGCTTCCTCGCCGTCGCGACCTAGGACGAGATCGAATCCTCCCCTCCCGTATCTCCCTCGGGCAAGAAGAGAAAGAAGGCCGCACCCCCGGCCGTGGGAGCGAAAGAGGACGCTCCGTCAGAGGCAGCTGCTAGTCGCGCCACCAAGAAGCAAAAGCTCGCCGACGAAGACGACGACGACGACGACGAAGTGCAGGACGACGAGCAGGGACGGGAGGAGGACGGGAGCGACGCAGGCGATAGCGAAGCTGGCAACCGCCATGACGGCACAAAGGACGCATCCGACATCGAGGCAAATGCGATCGGGAAGCTGTCCGACTTCTCGGAGCTCGAGGACGACGCGCCGACGCGGCACCGTTCCACGTCGCCCACGAAAAAGAAGAAGAGGGCATCGGCCAGCGGCACCAGGCCGAGCACGGGTAGCAAAAAGGCCGGCGGCGGCGGCAAGGCGGCGGGAGGAGGCGCGGGTTCCGGGGATGCGGCGACGGAGCGCCTCGCGCGGCTCAAGTCGATTGTCGCCGCTGCAGGCGTGCGCAAGCCGTGGAAGAAGCTCTATGCCAACGCCGACGTCGCCGACGACGACACCGAGGGGCAATGCAGGATCGTCCAGGACGTGATGCGCGAGATTGGCATCGTGAGTCGAGTCGAGGGCCTCGGTGGAAGCTTGGTCTGCCAGCGGTGTCGGCACTTCGCAGAGCGCTGACCTCACCCTGCCCTCGTTCCGCCTCCATCACGTCTAGACGGGACGAGGCTCGATAGCAGAGGCCAAGCGGATCCGGGCCGAGCGCGAGTTCCAGGACGAGGTGGCGGCGCTGCAAGAGGCCCAGGTGGTCGACTCGGCCCGGGGCAGGAGGGCAAGTCGATCCAACCACGGTGCCGCCTCCGCAAAGTCTGTGGCCGCTCGACGCAGCAGCACAGCTGGCGACGATGAGTCGGAAGGCGAGAGCGAAGAGGACGAGGGTCCGAGCAGCCGAAAGGTGAGTGTCGTCCCACCCGCTCCACTTCTCCGACGTGGCCCAGGCTCGACTGTCTGACCGCTGCTGCTGTGGCTGTCACGGGCTGACCCTTGATCTACTTCTTTCTTCGTCTCGACGACGGAACCAATGGCGGCCGCCAGTCGTTCAAGAACTCGCTCGCCAGCTTCGCGGCTGGCCTCAACTCTGACGACTCCGACTGATGCTTCGCGCCCATTCACCGCGCAGCTACCGCCGGCTTGCCTCTGATAACAATACCCGACAGCCGCATCGCGCGACAAGGCACAACCTTGTCCCAAATCAGGGCGGCCACGACGACCCGTCCGGCCTCGCCCAACAACAAAAGCAAGCAGGCAATCCGTATTGTTCAAGCATCCGCAAACCGCTACCCTACGCGCTCGGCCACGACCGGGGCCTTTCCACCTATGCCACCTTGCTCATTACCGCACCGTCAAGCCCCAGGCGCAAAAGCGACCGTCGCAGCGCGCCTCACTTTTCCAGCCGCTTCTTAATCTGCGCCAGCTTGACCTCGAGCTCCATCAAGCTGCCCTGCAGCGCCGAATGGCAGCTGCGCAGGCCCGTCATCAGGCTCACGTCGCCCTCGGCCTGAGGTGCCATCGCAGAGGCCACATCGTCGCGATAGCACGACACCGGCGACGACGACGACGATGAAGACGCCGTCGCTGCTGGCGCTGCGAGTGCGGGCACGTCCTTTTCGCTCGACCACTTTCGACGAGCCGCTCCGCTGGTGATGCCTTCCTCCCCTTCCCGCGCGTGCGGGTCGACTGATAGGCGATGAACGTCTTCCGCGCTCAGGCTCTTTGGCTTGATCGACCCTCTGCCGCGCTCCGTCTTCTTTGCCCTTTCGCTCCGGCCCGAGACCTTGTTGTCCGATCCGGCGCCATCGTCGTCGTCATCATCGCCGCCGCCCGCCTCGTCGCCCTCGCGACTCGGCGCCGTCCGCGGGAACGGCTTGGTATTGGCGACGCTCAGCGACGAGATCCGCCGCGTGATCTTGTTGGTGGCGTCACGCAGCGTCCTCGAAGCTCTCGGGCGCGATCCCGTTTCCTCTCGATGTTCGGCCACGGATCTTGCGGCCGGTTCCACGGTGGCCTGCGCACCCGCGCCCGCGCCCACGCTCACCTTGGAAGAGGTGCGCCGAAGTCTTCGCTCCGTGGTCGCAGTCGCGCCCGAAGTCGACGTCGGCTCTGGCCCCGCCGCGACCGCGGCGGAGAGCAAAGCGCCTCGCTTGTCCGGCTGACCTCGCAGCTTCCGCGGTCCTTGCAGCACATTGGAGGGGTTTTCGGACAGGGAGAGCTCGAGCGGATCCTCCTGCACCGGCGCTTCGAGGTAGAGGCCCCTTGCTCGCTGTTGGTGCGACGCCCTGCGCCCGCTGCCCGACGCTGTGCCCAAGATGGCCTCGACGTGCTTTGAGGGTCCGCCATCGCTCGCCCTCCTGCGTCTTTCTGCCGTGGGTCCCGACCCCGCGAGCTCGCTCGCAGACGTGACCAGATCGACTGCTCTCGGCCGCCCAGACACGGTACTCGAGAACCGCCTGCGCTCGTTCTTGCCCTGTCGACCGTCGTCGCGATCGATGGGCGCGAGCGGGTCGCCATCGCCGCTCAAGAAGGCATCCTCGAGCGCAGGCGACAACCTCCGCGTCGGCGGCTTGACGGCGCTCATGCTGTTCGGGCGACCGATGCCCTTGCGATACTCGGAGAGCATGTCCCGGCTGCTCTTGCGCCTGATCTCGCGCGCTGCGAGCCCGTCGGCGTGTGGTGAGAGCCTCCCGCCGGCGACGTCGTCGAAGGCGCTGTCCAGACGACTGCTGCTGCTGGTACTGCTACCGCTGCCCACACCTGCGGCTCCTGCCTTGCTCGTCTCGCCCAGCGATATTGCGCCGAGCACCGGCACCTTGCCAAAGCTGCCCGACAGGTTCTCCGCGCTGCAATTGGCCGGCGACGACGCGCCGTTGCGGGCGTTCATCGTCAGCATCGAAATTGGCCGCGCCCTTGCAGCCACTGGCGCTACGGCCAGCGCCGCCTGTTCGAGCGCGGGCGATTGCTCGCGCGGCGACGACGACGGCATCGTGGGACCCTCGACAAAGGACAGGGGCGACGACGAACCGCGCGCGACACCCGAAAGGCGGGCCGCGTGCGCCTCGGTCAGAGATGGGCTCTGGGTCCGCGTCGGCTTGGTCGGCGTGGAGCGTTCCTGCGCCTTGATCAAGAGCTGCCGTGCGCTGCGCTTGTGCTTCAGCGCGGGCCGCCCGCCGTCATGCTCGTCCGCCGACGACATTGTGTCGTCGGTCCCATCCGAGTCGTCTGAGTACAGGCCAATTGCTTGCGGTGCGTGGAGGCGGGCGGTTAGAGACCCCTCCCATGCCGGCTCGGCCTCTGACGGGACGCGGCCCGGCTGCGCTGGCTGGTTGAACGAGGCCTCCCTGGATCGTGGTGGCGGAGCCCGTGATGCTTGTCTCGGGCTGGCATCCCGGTCGACGGCATCGTCGTCGGAGCCGTCTTCGCCCGCGCTCCGTCGGCTGCTGCGCAGCGTCGATTTGGCCTCGGGGGAGGGCGCAATGGTCGCGAGCGACGGCATGGCGAGGGTCGGCTTCGTCCGGAACGCCCCTCGGAAGTCGGGCGTGCCCTGCTGCCTCTGCCTATCCATGCCGGGGCGCGACGCTGCCGGCGAAGGCAGATGACGCCGTGGCCACGTCGAGACGGGCGAGCGGCTGTCCCGTTGCTGCTTGCGGACGCTCTTCTGCACCGCAGCCATCATTTCGTCCCAGGCCTGACTCTCGGAGACCTCTCGGACGGCGTTGCTTCCGCCAGAGTACCGGCTGTCCGATCCGACGCTGCCAGCCCCGGGTGTTGCCGAGCGAGCGCGGGCAAGGTCGTTGCGGCGCAGCGGCGCGGCACGCTGCCGGGCGACCGAGGGCATCGATTCGCTCGCGGCGAGCGGGAAAGGGTAGGGAGATTGCGGCACCGCAGGCGTCTGCTGCGTGGAGGGTTCGGCCGGTCGGACATCGACCGGTCGGTCTGCGCCCGCAGCGGCGGCTGCGTACTGATCGGCGAGGCAGATGTACGACGGCTTCCGCGCCGGGGTGACGAAGCTGTGAACCCGGCGAATCGGGAGCGGCAACCTCTCCTCTGGATCTGCCGGCTCCAACGCCTGCACCGTGGCCTCGCGTTCTCGTTGAACCGACCAGGGCGCAGCCGGCGACGGCAGGTACGAGGGCAGAGTCGGCAAGCCGATGGGCGAGATTTCCGGTGGGTCCACTCGACGTGCCAGACGCTCTTGCGGCGTCGACGCCATGGGCTCGTAGTCGTTCCGACCCGCCGGCGAGGCTGCGGCGTCTGAGAAGAGGCTTGCGGAGCTAGGCGCGCACGAGAGCGTCTCGAAAGCCACCACGCGGGACACGGCGGGGGCGTGCGCAGCCGCCGGCTGGACTGCTGAAGGCTTGAAGGTGTCGGGATCCGGCACGTAGCTGAAGCCAACCAGCGCGAGATCGCAGTCCGACCACCGCGGCGTGCTGAAAGCGCCGAGGCGGGACGACGACGACGACGACGGAAGGCCGCCCAGCCCCGAGAAGCGCACCGGCGTCGGAGACGTCGTGGTGTCGAAGATGGCGGGCGATGACGAGGAGCGCGGCAGTCCGTACGAGGCCTCTGGCGCTGCGGTCTCACCATCGGGGGCAGGCGCGGAAGCGATCTCGGCGGACCAGCCAGCCAGATCGTAGCTGCGGCTCGAGGTCATGCCGGGCTGGTCGAAGTCGCGCGAGTCCATAAAGGCGGGAAAGTCGTCGACGTCGCCAGAGTACAGTGCGGAAAAGTCGGGCAGCGTGTCGACGGCCGACAGCGACCCAGACGCGGCCACCAAGTCGCCAGGAAGGCGGACAGCGGGGCTGTGCAGCAATGACAGCTCGGGCTCGCCGCCTGGGCCAGCGCCGGGGTCAACAGCCTCGCCGACGTTGGGCACAAAGGGAGGGTCCAGGGGCCAATCCTTGGACCAATCGACGCCGTGGAAGAAGGCGTGTCCTTGCAGCTCAAAGGTCCCGTTGCGGCCGAGGCGATCGAGCGGATCGGTAATGAGGCCCCTCATCAGGCCGAGCAGCTCTGGGGAGCTGTCGATGCTCGCATCGAAGCGCAGCGACTCCCGATGGCTGCGGATCAGCTCGTAGGTGGCCTGCATCTGGTCGGAGAAAAAGGGGAGGACGCCGAAGCGCATCTCGTAGAGCATGACTCCGAGGCTCCACCAGTCCATCTCGGGCCCGTACGGACCGGGCTCGACGTCGTCGGGCTTCGCATCTGCCTGATGAGGCCTCTTCCAGGGAAGGTCGCCGTCGTCGAACGACTGGAAGCTGAGCTGGCGACGGGCTATACGCTCCTCTTCGGCCTCCAGCAGTTCCGGCGACAGGTAGTCGCAGGTGCCCGTCGGGAGCGAGCAGTAGAACCTGTGCACCTTACGAGCCCACACGCGCTCGCCGCCCCGTCCAGGCTCGGCCACCTGGAACTGGGAAAAGGGAGCGGCGCTCGAGAAGTCGCAAAGCTGGAGATGGCCGGACCGGTCGAGCAAGAAGTTGCCAGGCTTGACGTCGCTGTCAGGTGCAGACGCGGGCAACGAGCGGACAAGGACGAGGCATGGGCGGTCAGCTCTGCACTTCATCTCGACCACCTTTGGCTGCTGCGTGCATCAGGGGGGAGGGCAGGACCTCTGCGACACCAAGATGAGCAGAAGAGGAGGAGCCACTTACCGGTGCGCGTAGCCCCTCGAATGGACCCAGCCTATCGCCAAGACCATGTCGGCGGCGTAGCGGCGTATCCAGTCCTCGACGAGCAGGCCCGACGAGGCACGGCCTGGGTACTCTGGCCCGCACTTGCTCGCGGCGATGAGGAGCTCGCTGAGGTCGCCACTCGGCACGTACTCCATGACGAGGTGCACGGAGCCCTGGGTCTGGAAGGCGGCGACGAGCTCCGGCGTGACCCTTCTCGTGGTGCCGCCGTCGTCGGAAGAGGCCGCGCCGGGTTGCTTCTTGGCCAGGAACAGGGTTTCGCAGGCGGGCGACTGGATGGCCGCGTTGCGCTTTGCAAAACCCTTGACGATCGTCTTGAGGACGTACAGCTGGCGGTCGAGCTTGCAGCGCACCACCTCGACAAAGCTGCCAGAGCTGCGCTGCAGCGTCTTGAGCGACTTGAAGTCGTCGATGCTAAACGAGAGGCGCGGGAGCGTCTTGATGTGGGGCAAGGCGGCGGCGCGGAAGGGATTGGCGTCCTTGCCGTGCGGGATGCCAGACGACGACCATAGGATAGCGAGCGCCAGGTCGAGCTCCCTGCCCAGACGGTGAGGCGCCGTGTACTTTTGGAGCTGCGAAGCATCCTTGGCGCTGTCGAGCCGGTCAGGGTCGTGGGCGGTGGCGTGGGTGCGAGGGACCCTGGTGCCGCTCTGCAGCTCCAGGTCGCTTAGTGCGCGGGCGACGGCGGGCGCTCTGAGCGAGATGACGATGGCGTCATGACGAGCGGCCCAGGAAGCGGCGACGTCGGGCATCGTCTCGGTGGCGGAAATACCGAACCACACCCACAGCGCTCCCAGCTCGCCTTGCGCTGCGGGCGTCGTTCAGCTGCGTCGGTCGATGGATCTCTTCGATGGGGCGGGCTCTCGGGGAGGGCCGCCGATGTCAGCAGGCGCTCAGAGGATGTGTCGGCACGTCGACGTCGACGTCGGATTCCCGGGCCGGTCCTATGGATCGTAAACTGGTCGAGATTGGCGGTGGCCAAGCGTCGGCCTTGCCGGAAAGCCAAGGCAGTGCGTGTCGTATCGGGTCGGGCCGGGCCGGGCAGGTGCCTGCGATGACCCCCTCGGCCTTCTTTGCTGTCGAGAAGGTGGCGGAAGCTGCTCTCAGCGCTGCACTTAGGTGCTGCGTACTAAGGTCGGGGTGATATAGGGCAGGGATCAGTGGGCGTGATGGCGGAGATGGTGACGACGAAGGACGGGCGAACGAGAGCACAATGTAGTCGTGCGTGTGGATGCGGCCCGAACGACGAGCGGCAGCGAGGAGGAGCAGGTGGGCGGGGATGCAGGTCGAGAGGCGCACAGACGAGGCGAGGGAAGAGTGTGGGGCAGACGAAGCCAGAGTAGTCAGAGCCTAGCTTGGAGGTCGAGAAGGTCGCGAGGGCAGCGTCAAGGCCAGGCCTGGTCCGGCGTCCAACCAGAGGGCAGGCAAGCGGGGCGGGGCCAGCCAGCCATCCAGCTCTTCGGGACCTCGCCCTCGACTCTGCAAGGGGCGCGGTCGCTGCGACCAGCCTGGATCAGAGGCAGGCCCACGGTCAGGAGCAAGGCACCAAGGCGGCGTCGTCTTCGTCACCACACAACAGAACAACGGGCCCTCCAGGCTGAGCCTGTGGCGAGAGGGGCCACAACACCCAAGCAAGCCAGCGAGCCAGCGAGCCAAGCCAGAAGAGCTCTGAAGCACCGCCCACAGCAAGCCTGCCCGGCAAGGCCGCCTCTCCTCGCCTGCCTAGCCATTTGAGGTTTCGGGCGCGGCAGTCGCGCATCCAAGCACATGCACACGAAGCCAAAGTCGGGCATGCACCGAGGAAGCTTCACGTTACCCACCGGCAGCGAGCCGGTCTCGGTGGTGCGAGCGGCTCGGCGTGGCCATGTAGGTGCTGGCTTGCTTTCCCCGACCGACTCGGCAGGCCCGGCCAAGCCAGGGCACCGGCGGCAGACTGGCAGGCCAGCCTGGGCGTGGACTGGCACGCGTCGCCCCCTCCACAAGCCAGGCAGCGGCAGGCAGAGAGATCAACACCCGACCGGCTGGGCCCGCCTCCGACTGGCAGGTCACGTTGCTGGGGCCCAGGGAGTGGATTTTCTCGTCCGGGTCGCATGGACCCTTGATCGCGGCGCAGGCCAGGCTGGGTCGGTCTGGTCGGGCCTGGCAGGGAGGCTGGCAGGCAGCCCTTGGCGCAGGCAGCCTGGCAGGCCAGAGGCAGGCCAGGTGGAGTGGGCCCGCGTTGAAGGCCAGCAGGCAGGGAGGCGAGAGGAGAGGCGGCTGGTTGGTGGTGTTGGTGGCGGGACCGTCTCGTCATTCGCTCCCTCCACCATCATTTCGTTCGCACCTCCCTTTCGTCGGCACACCTTTCCCTCCCCTCTTCCCGACGCCACCGGCACGGCGCTCGGCATTGCCTCTGATCCGCTTGCCAGACCCCCTGCCTGGTCTTGCCTCTCGCTTGCTGTTTGCCCGCTGAGGTCCACCCTCGCCATCAGTTCGCCCCGCTCGCAGCGACAGTGCTAGTCGGATCTCTCTTTCTCTCTCTCTATCTCTCTCTCTCTCCGCCATTACCAGCTCTGCATTGATCGCATCAGCCTGAAGATAACGCCAAGGCCCAGCCTCGAAGCGAAAGCTGCGCATCGCCGGTCCATACCCTCGACTCGACACGGCACGCTGCTTTCTCAGAATCGCTCCTCGGTCTGCCGATCCCTACGAGGCCGCTTCGCATCGTCCACTTCGATTCAACCGCACTGCGCTTCGTGTGCTTATAGTATAGTCGCTCTGCCATTGCACCTCCTCCTAGGGTAGCTCGATTTGGGGCCGAGACTTTCGCGCACCGCCTTCGCCACTCGCCAACATGAGCGGCGCGGGCTCAGCACGGAGGCCCGGTGCCCGAGGCATCAAGCTCAAGCCGCCGAAGAAGGTGAGCCCACCACCACGAGTCGTGCGCTCTGAATCACGCTGTGCTCCTCACAGCGCCGCTGATACCAGTGCTTTCCTCTCCGTATGGTCCGCCGGTCGGCATGGCACAATCCTCCGTAGATTGGCAACAGCGTCCCGATCGAGGAGATGTGGAAGCGCCTGGTCGACGCCATCGGAGAGATTCACAACCACAACATCTCCAAGCTGAGCTACGAGGAGCATTACCGATACGCGTACAATCTCGTGCTGGTGAGTCCACCCGCGAGGACCGCAGCGTGCAGCTTGTATGCGCCCGGCTCACCCTCTCTCGCTCCCGCTATTCCGTGAACGCATTCCGTGCGCCCGCAGTACCAGCACGGAGATATGCTCTACAACGGCGTCAAGCGCCAGATCGAGGCTCACCTCAACAAGCAGTGCCGCGACAAGATCGCACCCGCCTTCCCGCCCGGCGGTGCCACGGCCGTATCGGCCGGCATCGTCCTTCCCGAATCGCTGCTGCGACCGCAACCCTCGTCGTCGTCGTCGTCGTCGTCTGGGCCTGCCTCGTCCAAGGGCAAGGGGAGAGAGGCGCCCGACGATGCTGCATCTCGTTCGGCCAATTCCGACGGCGGCGATCACGACGTCGGCGCTCAGGCCTCGACGGCCGTGAGCATGTCGGCCACCCAGCCGGGCGACCGCGCCGACGCCATCGCTCGGATTCAGGCCGGCGAGAGGCTCATGACAGCCATCCGCGACACTTGGCTCGACCACCGCAGCTGCATGAGTACGCTCAGCGATATCCTCAAGTATGCCGACCGGGTCTATGTGCCGCAGGCGGGCGTGCCCTCGACCAACAAGCTGGGGCTCGAGCTCTTCCGCGACACGGTGGTCCGGTCGGCCAAGTTCCCCATCCAGATCCACCTCTACAGCACGCTCCTGACCCACATCCAGATTGAACGCGAAGGGTTCGTGATCAGCCGCTCGCTGGTCAAGGCCAACATCGACATGCTCGGCGACCTGACCCACGTCAAGCGCGGCGTTCCGGCGGCGCAGCATCCGTCGGTCTACACACACGACTTTGAGCCCGCGTTTCTCTCGACATCGGCGGCCTTCTACAAGGCCGAAGCGGAGCGGCTGCTGGACGCGAGCGATGCCGCCAGGTACCTCGCCCATGTTGATCGGCGCCTGCAGGAGGAAGTCAGCCGCGTGTCGGTCTACCTCAAGCCCGAGACGCAGCAGCCGCTGCAGAGGCTCCTGGAGAAGCACTTTTTGGCCAACCACCTGACGACCATCGTCGACATGCCGGGCAGCGGTCTGGTGGCCATGCTCGACGAGGACCGCCGCGACGACCTGGCCATCATGTACCGCCTCTTCCAGAGGGTCAAGGAAGGTCCGCAGGTGCTACGGATGGGTCTCAAGTCGTACATCGGCACCAAGGGGAGGCTTATCAATGAGGCCGTGTCGGCTTCCGCGCAGGCCGCCGCGGCCGGACCGACGACCGCCCAGGCTCCCGGCGAGACCGACACGCCCGCCGGCGATGCCGACGGTGGTGCCGCGCCGAGCGGGTCCAAGGACAAGGCCAAGGGCAAGGGCAGGGAAGCCGCTGGGCCCGCCTCTGACGCGTCGACACCACAGGCGGCGATGGCGCTGCGCTGGGTCGAAGAGGTGCTGGAGTTCAAGAACAAGTTTGATGCGATCCTAGCATCGAGCTACCAGAACGACGCCGGGTGCGAGACGTCGATCAACGAGGCGTTCGAGTCCTTTGTCAACACCAACCCGCGCGCCCCCGAGTTCATCTCGCTCTTCATCGACGAGAACCTGAAGAAGGGGCTCAAGGGCAAGACCGAGGAAGAGGTCGACGAGGTGCTCAACAAGACGATCTCAGTCTTCCGCTTCCTGCACGAAAAGGACGTCTTCGAGCGGTACTACAAGCAGCACCTGGCCAAGCGGATGCTGCAGGGCCGGTCGGTCTCGGACGACGCCGAGCGCGGCATGATGGCAAAGCTCAAGATCGAGTGCGGCCACGGATACGTGCAGAAGCTGCAGGGGATGCTCAACGACATGAAGGTCAGCGAGGACACCAACCTCGAGTTTGCCAAGAACGTCCGGAACTCGAGCCGCCCGCTGCCGTTCGAGATGTCGGTCAACGTGCTGACGTCGACCTACTGGCCGATCAGCGCCCAGGCGCAGCCCTGCACCATGCCGGCATCGATGATGGAGGTGCGGAGGCGCTTCGAGGCCTTTTACCAGTCCAAGCACAGCGGCCGCATCCTGACGTGGCACCCCAACCTCGGAAACGCCGACGTCCGGGTCAGCTTCAAGGCGCGCAAGCACGAGCTCAACGTGTCGACCTACGCGCTCATCGTTCTGCTGCTGTTCGAGGACGTCGCCGACGGCCAGTCCCTCGGCTACGAGGACCTCGCCGCCAGCACCAACATCCCCGACGCCGACCTGCAGCGGACGCTGCAGAGCCTCGCGTGCGCCAAGTACAAGATCTTACTCAAGGAGCCCAAGGGCAGGGAGATCAACCGATCCGACCGCTTCACCTTCAACCACTCGTTCTCGTGCCCGCTGGCGAGGATCAAGATCGCCCAGGTCGCCGCGCGGGTCGAATCGGCGGGCGAGAGGAAGGAAACGACAGAAAAGGTCGAAGAGGAGAGGAAAAACATGGTCGAGGTAAGCTTTTGTCGTCGCTGCCGTCTTCGTCGTTCCCTGGGCAGTCTGGCGCGAGTGCATGCGGGATCCTTGATTGACCCGATCGCTGAATCCGCTCCCTTGGCCCTTGGTTCCCGGCCCCCGAATTCGCCACCGCCACCTCCACCAGGCCTGCATCGTCCGAGTGATGAAGGACCGCAAGACAATGACGCACAATGAGCTGGTCAGCGAAGTGGTACGGCAGCTGGCGGCGCGGTTCCAGCCCAACCTCTCGATGGTCAAGAAGCGGATCGAGTCGTTGCTGGACCGAGGTGCGTTCCACGTCGGCGGTGGCCTAGTCGACACCTCTCTCCATGCTTCCCTGTTCTTCCTCGCCGCTGACACACTCACACTCTCCCCTTACCCTCGACGCGCCCCGCACGTCTTCAGAGTACCTCGAGAGGGCAGAGACACGCAACGTCTACAACTACCTCGCCTAACGAGCGAGGTCCTTTCAGCCGCCCGTGGATCGACCTCGACATCGACATCGACATCGCATGGGCCTCGACGCTTCGACATCCGCACTGCCGGCTGCCCATGGCCGGACACGTCCTCAACGCAGCAGCACGACGGCTCGACTGCATCGCATCGTTCCGACAACCAGGCCATCTTTGCCCGGGCCACCCTCTCACCCCTGTATCCATTCACTGCTCCCCCTCGCCCTCTCCCTCTTCTCACTCACTTACCCTGCTATGCCAGCCTGCCACGACGACGGCAGACAAGCCGCACACGAACCGCACACAGCCATGCCGCCGCCAACACGGCCCAGATCCACGACCTGCCACCCTGCTGCTCGTCGTACGACGGCGCCGTCGTGCCGTGCCGTGTCGCGTCGCTGCCGACTTCCAGCCGACAATGCGTGCCTGGCCACACGCGCCTTGGCCCTGTTTCGGGCGGTGCCACGCGCTCTGGCTCGCACATCAGCAGCGGGTCGGCGGCAAAAGCTGGATTTGCGCAGCCGACGTCAAACAGTCAGACGGGGGCCAAGAGAGGGACAGACCGCGGAGGGAGGTACAGGTACAAGTACAGGCTAGCGAGGAGGGTGGTTTGATGACGGGCAGTTGTGGTGCCACATCGAAGAGGGGGAGAATGGCCGGGGAGCGAGGTGAAGACGGCCAGCGAGGCCGAGGCGGCGGCCGCGGACCGCTTAGGGTGCGCAAGCCACGGGAACGCGGGGAGGTCGAACAAGAGGCCAGGCCTTGCCTCTTGCCCCTTCGCCTTCCCCTCGGCTCGACCGCACGCTCGAGGGGGCGCTGCGCATCATTCGGTCTCCATGCGACCGGCACTCGACGTCGAGCTCGACAGCGACGAGGGCGGCAGCATCGAGCCGCCATGGACGTGGTGCGGATGGGCCTTGGAGCCGGTGCCAGCCCTCGTGCGCCTCCTCGTCGGGTAGCCGCTGCCGCTGCTCGTGCTCATGCCGCCGAGCGCCAGGCCGGTCGACGACGCGGGCGCGGCGCCGTGATAGAGGCTCTGGTGGTGCTGATGTTGGTGGTGGTGGTGATGCTGGTGGTGGGATCCTGCTCGGCCCCCGCGTTCCGTCTCGGTGAGGTTCTCGTCGTCGCTCATCACGGACGGCGTGCGCGACATCAGCTGGCTGCTGGTGCCGTGCGGACCCGGCGAGTGGCTGCTGCTGCCCACTCTGCCACCGCCCTTGACGCGGCGACGCTTGGTCGAGGCCGTGGTGCCCATCGAGGCGTCCGAGTCGCCGCCGGGCGAGCTCGCGCGAGAGTAGCCCCGCGCGCTCTCCCAGGGCGCGGCGCCCGACGAGGAGCCGGCCTCGATGCGGTTCGAGCCCTCGGCCCCCTGCTCGTGCTGCCGCTTTCGCTGCAGACCGAGGATGCGCAGGCGTTCGACCCAAAGGTCGGCGCGGTCGAGGGACTCGCCGAACACGATTGTCACACTGCGGAGGATGTCGAGCGACTCGACGGCGAGCGTGAGGATCTTGTTGGCGGCCTGGGCCGTGGCGGCCGCCTGCATCTGGTCGCGCGGCGTGCCCGTGCCGCTCCGGATCGGTCGCTGTGCCGACAGCTGCGCCGGCGAGTCGGGGCCCGACGAGATATGGGCGGGCGAGAAGGACGATGACGAGGGGCTGCCGCCAAAGTAGCCGCTGGGCGAGCTCGCCGCCGAGCTGCGGTTGACCGTGGCCCACCGAGCGGGCAGGCTGAGGATGAAGGCCTTGACGCTGTTGCGCGCCGGCTCCGGCAACGCGCTGCCGGCATACTTGCCGACGACATCAACCACTCCGCGAATCGTGTTGACCACGTCTCCCTTGATGTTGCTGAGGTTCTGGACCGCGGAGCCCGAGACATCGAGCTCGCCGTGGTTGAGCTTGACGATCAGGTCGCGCAGTATCGTGATCTGGTGCTCGATGTGCGCTGTGGCGTACTGCAGCCACTGGAGGCAGTACTTGAGCGACTTCATGCTCTCCTCGCTCATTGCCGCGCTCAGGCCGCCGGCGGTGGCGCCCGCCTCGACCAGCATCGAGCCCCAACGGCTGCCCTTGAATGGCATCCCGCCCTGTGATCGGACAAGGGCCTGTGCAGCCGCCACCTGGTCCCGGTCCGGGTGTTCGCTGTCGCCGCCGCCGGGAGGCCCCCTACTGTCGCCGCGGTGTTGGCTCGGCCGGCCCGCTGCGCCGGACTCGTGCGAATCGGCGAAGATGACGCCGTGGGGCTCGCTGCCGTCGCGGCCCTTGCCCTTGCGCTGGCGCAGCTCCGCGACCATGAGCTCGCGCTCGCGCTCCTCCATCTTGAGCGCCACGTAGGCCGTCTTGCGCTTCTCACGCTCCTCTTCGCCCATGTGCTGCCAGTCGTTGCGCTCCTTTTCGTCGGCCTCTGCCACGAGCCTCTTCTTCTCTTCCTTGGTGGGCGACGGGGCCGGATAGAGTCGATCCAACTGGCGGCAGGCAAAGTCATCGAGCTGCTCGACGCCACGTTCGCCAAGGCTCGCGCCCAGGCGACTGACGACCGGACGGGAGATGCTCTTGACAGACGACTCGACCAGGTCAGCGCCATACTTGACAACCTTGCTGTGCTGCTTGCCGAGCTCGTAGGCGCGCAGCGTGCCCCGCACAATGGGCAGGTGGCTGACGCGCGACAGGAACGCGGCGTCCTGCATCATCTCGGGGTCCACCTGGACCTCGTTGCCCTGCTCGTCGCGTACGAGGGCGGGGAACTGGAAGTCTGGGGGCAGGTCGGCCAAGGTGGCCGGCCCTCTGCGGTTGCGACCGCTCAACCCCGTCGGCGATTCAGCGCCAGATTCCTGGGTCAGGTCCGTCGCTGGGGTGGACGAGGGCGACGACATGGCCGTAGACGTGACGGAGGAAGCTGAGAGACCGGACGACGTATGTAGTGGAGCTGCGGGAGGCGTACGAACAGCAAGGCGACGGGGCGGCGCGAAGTCTGTCAGCGGTCGGAGGTCAAGATGGAAGATGCAATTCGCTCGCTGGCCTGGCAATTCACTCACACTTGACGCCCGGAGGAAGTCTGCTATAAGATCCAGAGGCGTGAGAGGACCCGTTAGTGTGCAGCGGCGCCTCGGACCCCTTCGACAGGCCGTTGGCCCTTCCGTCGAGGCTCTTCATGGCGCCGAGTGCCATGATGGCGATCTTGACGTCCTCGTCCTCGGCATCGACGCCGACGCCGGTCGAGCCTGCCCTCGAGCTCGACACGGTGGCGAGGCCGGGCAGGTCGCTGCTCGTGGACCTCGAGTGGGGTGCGGGTGAGGCATCGTCAAAGTCGTCTTGGAATGGCGCCGGTGTCGCGGCCGGTGTGGAAGCGGCGCTGGGCAAGGTGGTTGGGTCGATCTCCTGGCTGGCGCGGTGCTGCTTCCAGCGCGCGTCGTGAGACATGGGAGTGGGGGCGGCGTCGGTGGCAGAGGCGACGACCGAGTCCGTGCCGATTGGCCGGTCAGCAGCAGCGGAGCCGTTGGCCTGCATCGCTATGGTGGAGCCGTCACCTCGTCAGCGGCATCCGCTCCGGGCGGCAAGCGCGATGAAAGGTCCGCTGGCGTGGTGTGGATGGCCGAGGTGCACCTGCTGGCTCGAGCTGATCTCTGGTGCTGCTGCTGGTCTCGATGCTCCGATGATCACAGAAATGGTCCAGAGATGAGCCAAGTAGGGCAGCGCGCTCTGCCGAAAGCCAAGTCGACCTGCCGCTTCGGAGTCGTGGGCGGAGGGATGGCGAGCAGGGAAGCGCAGCGATCCGGGCGTCGTCTGAGCGCGCCGAGGATTGGAGGACTAGGTATGGGTCGCAGGCCGTCGAGGCGGTCTCTCGCTGAGGTGGCGATACGAGGAGTGGTGGCGAGAAAGGTGGCGACAGGGCTGATGGAACTTTCCGGAGATAGAGGCAGGAGCGGCGTTGCGGCGAGATGCGGGATGTGGCTTGCTGGTGATGATGTTGATGGCGATGGCGGAGAAAGCCAGCCGCGGGGGTGGCGGTGGAGACGGGCTGGGTAAGCAGAGCCAGCCAAGTGAGGCGCGAGGGGGTAGGGTCGGTCGACGAGGAGCGGGGTCGGGATGGCATAGAGAGAGGGAGAGAGAGAGGGAGAGGGAGGCAAAGAGGCAGGCGGGCAGGCCGTGGGCAGCCCTTCCGCTGCCCCCTTGCAGCGCGCAAAAGCAAGTCGGCCTACAGCAGGCGAGGGCAGAGGCGGAGCAGCGCAGCGGTGGGTTAGCTTGGCTTGGGCGTGGGTTTCTCACACGCCCGCCTGGAAGCGTGGGTTGTGGGTGGGTGCCGTGCGGGCCTGCCGCCCTGCCTCACTCAGCCTGGCCTGTGAAATCTGCCTGCCTACCTCCTTTGCCAGGCCTTCCCCCGCACCGCGCCCCCAGCGAAAACGGACCCTCGGCGCCGGACGAAAAATCGAAAAAATTGGCCGTTGTTGGGGCCGAGGCTCACCTCTGGCCCCCTGTAGCCTGGCCCGCCGAGTTGGCCAACGCCAGGCCAGCCCCTGCCAGGCGAAGCCGACCGGCCGGCCGGGAGCCGATTCTTCGTGGAGCGGCGCTCGTTGTCGAGTCGACCTGCCAGGCCTGCCTGAGGTGTCGGTCGGATGCATAGCGCTGATCGCGACACGACCGGACCCGCCTCTTTCAGACGCTGGCTCGGTCGCATGCCGTCTTCCGAACCACCTTCTCTGGCCTCGACGTCGACGTCGACGACGTGCAAAAGGGCGAAATGAGTGCCGTGGGCGGCCAGGCATCCGGTGCCGCTGCTTCCGTCGACGCAAAGGGGGAAGGCGAGGTCGGCTTCGGCGCGGCGTCGGTGATGGAGAACTGCGGTGAAAGGCCAACACGCAGGTAGGTAGGCAAGGCAGAGCAAGCAAGCCCTGGCCGGCCTCGCAGCGTGCGCCGCGGCGTGCGTGCTTCCCTTCTCCTGTTTCAAGCGAGGTCGACTTGACGGACGCCTCGGCCCCACTATGGAAGGAATACAAGCAGAGCAAGGAGCCCGTTGGAGTTGAATCGGGCCACGCCCGTTGCGTGAAAGGAGGTTCGGGCCGGGTTTGTATTCGAGGCCTCAAAAGGTTCCACATCCCTGTTGGCAAACCCGCACGCGAGCGGCCAACGGCCCGCATTCACGGGCCAAATTGGCCAGACTGGGGATGCGCCGATGAGACCCTGGCAGGGCCTGGAGCAAGCAAGCAGGCAGGCCCTCGACCCGCTGGCACGTCGAAACTTGTGGTTTGGAGGCAGTTGGAAAACGGATTCCCGACGGCCATCTTTCCCTGCCGTTCGACGACGTGCGGCGGCCGCCCTCCTTTCGCTCCACGGCCAGCCCAGAGATCCGCCTGGCTTTGCCTGGGCGAGATGGGGCCTCGCCTCGCCGTATGCAAGTGTCCAACGCACGACGATGGCCATCATCTGACGCCGTACGGCTGGCACGCCCCTTATCAAAAGCCGCAGCCCGTGCCGGCCACGCGGCCACAGACAGGGCTTGCTCTCTTACCGGCCCCTGTTCCCTTTGTCTGCTGGGCGGACGGAGAGAGAGGGGGGGGGAGAGAAGAGGCAGGGGAGGGTGAGAGGCCGTGCGACCGTTGCGTGAGGTGCGTGCGCGCGTGCGGTCACTCCGTCGGGGAGGGGGGGTTGCGGTTGCGATTGTGCCCAGTTTCACGCCCGATTCTGCTGCTGGGCCTGCCAGCTCAGCAGAGGTGGAGGAAAGGTAGGCGCGCGGATCACAAGACAACCCGTCGCCTTCGAGGGGGCACTGCCCGCCCGCCCTGCCTGACGATGACGAGCGACCATCGTCGTCGGTCGATGCCGTCGGTCGACGGAGATGCGGGCCACCCGACAACGACAGAAGACGACGACCACGCAAAGCTGAGGAAACGAGCATCGCATCGCAACCCAACGGGGTCGGGCCGTTGGCCGGTCAGCAGGCGGGGTTTACGTGTTAGGCGAGGCGTGGCGCACAGCCTTCCATGTCGCGGCCCCAAGACGCCCAGGACGTACCATACAGTACATCGGGGGCGCGGCATTCTTTCCCACACTCCGATCCACCCACCTGCCAAGCCGGGGGCTTCCCGATCGGGAAGAGCCCAGGCCTGGCCCGCTGGCCACCACCTGGCAGGCCACCCGTTCGCTGTCGCCGTCATCGACATCCCCTCATCTTGCTTGCCGCCTGGCCCGTTTCTGCTTAGTTAGCGCGTTGGGTCGTACCATCGCATGCTCAAGTGGCCGACCAACCGCCTGCCAGCATGGCAGGAAAAGCCGGGGGAGCCAGGCCAAGCGAGCCAGGAAGCTTCACACACTTCTGCCAATTTGGCTGCAGGCAAGCCGACCGACCTCGCTTGCCCCGGCCCTGCCCCGCGTCTTCCACCCCTCCGGCCCCTCTGGCTGCCTCTCCGCCAGCTGCCTGCCTCTGCCGTTCTGCTTGCTTGCTTCTCCTTCCGCAGCACCGGCAAGCACCCGTCGTCGCATGGTCGCGGGCTTCGCTTGCTTCCTGTCGAAGTGTGGGGAAGACGCAAGCAGATGCCTTCCCCCCAACAACGAGCAAGCAAGCAAGCGTGCCCTGCCCAGCTCCTCTTGTCCCCTTCCCCGCCCCAGTGGACGAGGCTGGCGGACACGGCCGCACCGGGATTTGGTTGCCGTGCATACACTCTCTGTAGCCCAGGCTGCCTTCTCTCCTCTCCTCGACGTATCGGTACCGAAGCCTGCCGCCGGAAGAAGATTGCCGTCTCGGGACTTGCACCTTCACGCACTCTTCCTGTTGTGTAGCTTCGGCGACAGACGGACAGCGAGCTGGCACACGTCGGCTGGCGGGGCAAGGTACTGAGAGTGTCCATGGGATGTAGAAATTCGAGTGTGGCCGGCGTGAGCAAGCAGGTGGCGGTGAGTGTATGAGATAGGGCTACAAGATACAGGTGAATCGGCCAAGAAGCGGGAGAGGAGCAGAGAAAGAGGGGCAGGACGAGGGGGGAGAGGGGGGGGGGGGGGGGGTTGAAGAAACGAGAACAGAGCAAGCGTCGCCGCGACCGCCGCTCTGTCGACCTTTTCGCGGGCGGCGCAAAGAGTGGGGGGAAACTCGCCGGAGAGCCATCGTATATCCAGCAGACGTGGGCTCTGGGCGGGCAAGCACTGGGGTGCGATTGGAAGAAGAAGAAGCGATGTGGCGAAGACGATGATGACGATGACGGGAGCTCCCAGGCATCCGCGTTCGAAGCCCTCTCTAGGGCCTGTATCCACCCTGACCTTGACCTTGACCATAACCGTATCCGTATCCGTGTCCGCTACCCGGCTGGCCGCCGTGGCCAGAGGGCGACGAGTAGTAGCTCTGCCCGCTGCCTTGTTGCGCGTGCTGCTGCTGCTGTTGAGTCGACGGCGGCGCCTGCCCAGGGTAGGGCTGGCCAGCCATGTAGTCGCCCGTCGCCTGTCGTCGGGGACCGGGATGTTGCTGTGGCTGCTGCGGGTAGCCGGCTCCGTAATAGTGCTGCGCCTGCTGCTGCGGCGACGTCGTGTAAGCGCCCGCCATCGGGTAGGCCTGCTGCGGACCGGGCGACGGCTGCTGCGCGCGCGCCAGCATCTGCGCCGACGACGAGGAGAAGTTCGAGTTGGTCCTGGTGGGCGGCTCGGGCCGGCCGTACTGGGGAGGCGAGGCCTGCGACCGCTGTCCGGCGGCGCCGCTGCCGTAGAGCATGTTGCCGTACGAGCCCAGGCTCGACTGGCTGCCGGTGCCCTGGTGGTGGGTGAAGGGTGGCAGGTAGGAGCCGGGCGTGGCAGCGTTGGCGTAGGGGTCGACGTAGCCCGCCTGCTGCGGCGGCGCCGTCATGTCGAGGTTGGGAGTGTCCGGGTACACGCTGCCGTTGGTGGCGGTGCGCTGCATGCCGTAGGCGCCCGACTTGAAGTCTGGCTGGCCTCCGGTGAGGGTGCCCTCGTGCGAGTCGCTGTACTTTTCCAGCAGGTTGTCGCGGCTGTCTCGAGCCATGACACTGTTCATCTCGATCTCCTCGCGCGGCGCCGCAGCTCCGCCGGTGATGTAGTTTGCGTACTGCGACTTGAAGTAGTCGCCCGACGGCGCCACCGACCCCGGAGTGCCGACGCCCTTGTTGCCGGCGAAGCCGCCCATGGTCGTTCCGGACATGATGGAGCGGACGTCGGAGTCCTTGTGCGGGTCGTACTCGAGCTGATCCTCCTCGATGGCGGCAATCTTGAGACCGCCGGCCACCTCTCCGGTCTCGACGCGGCGTCCATCGACGTTGGAGACGCCCGTGTCGATCTTGCCGCGGTAGACCTGGGGCAGAAGATGCTTGACCTTGGCGTGGACCATGGGCGTGAAGAGCTTCGACGAGAGCGTGGGGTGGCCGAAGCGCCTCTGCAGGCGGTTGTGGCGTGCGTCGCCGGCGTGGGTCGTGGCGGTGGCAAACTCGGCCTCGGATGGGATGTACCAGTCGAACTTGGGGTCAAAGGTGCGCCTGCAGTAGACCTTGAAGGCGATCAGGACGATAAAGGGCGGCGCGGCGGCCACCGCCTGGACGTACTGGCGGTCGTCGAGGGCGAGGCAGAGCATGAGGATGACCTGCATGAAGCCGATGCAGACCAGCAGCCGGTTGATGGTGGGCCGCCAGAGCATGCCGCCGGTCTCGTGCTTGGTGACAAACACGTACATGAGCTGGTACTTGTAGATGAACGAGTTGAGCCAGAAGATGGCCGCGGCGTAGATGACGATGAGCGGCGCCAGCGGGGCGTAGAGCATGGCGACGGCCGTCATGAAGAGGAAGTTGGAGTAGTAGATCCAGTAGTCAAACACGGGCGGCTTGGTGTACTCGCGGACGTCGCGCGGGGTGCGTCCGAAGAGGCCCTTCTGGACCCAGACGAGCAGCAGCTTGATGACCTGGGCGAGGTCAAAGACGGCCAGGTAGCCTCGCAGAGGGAGCCACGTGAGCCAGTAGGTCGACTGGTTGACGTACTGCGTCTTGATCGAGTCGGCCAGCTGGGACCCGAGCGAGCTGAGGATGTCGCCGGCCGACATCTTTTCCTTGATCGAGACGATCAGGCCACTGACGATCGAGAGGATGACTCCGATCAGCGAGAAAAAGATGAACTGCGAGATGACCAGGAAGCCAAACAGCTGGCCGATCAGGATGCGGTCGAGCTGGAAGCGGGTCTGGACGCCGCGGTACTTTGCGATGCGGCGGAGGAAGAGGGGCAGGAGGTAGCCCATCGCACCCATGATGACGGGGGCACCCAGGCCCGAGACGGCGTCAAAGCTCCAGCTGCTGGCGTCCTTCCACGAGTTGAGCCAGCGGAGCCAGCTGATCCTGCTGAGCGCCGTCATGTTGGAGATCAGCGAGACGATGATGAGGGGGATGGTGTTGAGGAAGAAGAGGCCGAGCAGCAGCAGGAAGCCGAAGAAGCTGGACTTGGTGCGCGCCGCCGAGGAGAGGGTGAGGTTCCTCCAGATGATGCCCGATGGCGGCGGCGCCAAAGCGATCCGCATGCCCCCCGGCTTCTTCCTCTGCAGCGACTTGGCGGCCATGTGGGCGTAGGGCACGGCGGCCAGCGAGGCGAAGCCGTACATCTCGGGCTTCTTTTCCTGGATCGTCTCGCGCTGGTGCTGGACGGCAGCCTCGACCCGGTTGATCTGCTCAGTGTAGTAGTCGATGGCGTCGACCCTGTTGCCGCCGCAGCCCATGAAGCCGCCGATGCGCACCGTGGGCCGCTTGGCGGGCAGCCGGTCCGGGTTTTTGAGGTAGCGGGCGAGGACGTGCTCGAGCTCGCGGACCAGGTCGTTGTGCTTCTCGATGAGCTCCGGCAGGCGACCCACTCGGCGGCCGATGTGGACCTCGGTGGTCGGGTAGGGCATCTTGATCTGCGACAGCATCGTCGAGAGGGCCGGGTCGCTCTGCAGCTTCTTGGGCACGTCGGTGATCATTAGGGTGCGGGCGTAGAAAGCCGTCTGGTACTCTTCCGACCGGAAGTAGGTCCAGCGGAGCCGGACCATCTCGCGGTAGTGGTACCAGACAAAGGCGAGGGCGATGCCGGTGCCGATGTAGCTCATCGCCACGTGGCCCCAGAGGTAGGATCCGTGGACGTTGGACATGTTGATCCAGTAGAAGCGGTTCGAGGGCCGCCACCGAGTCGGGTGGTTGATGTTGTAGATAACGTCGAGCGGCATCAGGACGACGCTGAGCACGACGGCCAGGGTCGAGAGCATCCACCGCATCATCCGGATGAAGCGGAGAAAGGTGACGCCGTCGAGGCCGATGAGCGGCAGCAGGTCGTGCTCCTTGTAGCGCATCACGGGCTTGACCCAGGAAAAGAAGCCCTCGTCGACCTTGGGCGGCGCCTTGCCCTCGTCAGCGTACTTGAACCTCGGCGCATAGACAATCTTGTTGTTGGGCCGCAGGATCTGGAACATGAAGAGGGTAAAGACGCCGAGCGCGCCGAAGGTACCGGCAGTGATGCCGACCTTTTGCGGGTCGGTCGAGCCATAGCTGTTGAGCTGGTCGATGAGGAGCTCCGGGATCGGGCTCTTGGCCCCGGAGTCAGACATGGACGACATGGCCGCAGCGAATGCGGTGAGAAAGGGACCTCCACAGCAGGGGAGTCGGGACTGTTGCTGGTCTGAAGAAGAAGCGGACGAGGGCGAGGACAAGGGGGCCGCGTCGAGCGGCAGCGTCACCGTCTGACAGGCACGAGCTCTTAGGCAGTGGTGAGCGTGAGATCACGCGGAAGAGCAGCCGTCGGTCGAGATCCTAGCGTCCTTGGCTCGCTGGCCGGGTCGTCGTCGACGTGGGCGCGAACGAGGCGTGCGCGAACGATCGCAGGACCGGGCGAGATGGCGAGGACGACGGAGATCGAACGCCGTCGACTGACCGAGGCGATCGATGTGTACTCGGCCGGAGGACTTTGGGCGCGACGTTCCTCGTAGTATTGCTGAAGTCGCACCAATCAATGACTGCACCGGGCAGCTGGAGCTCCGAGCGGAGTGGTAGTGGTTGGCGGGCTGTCTATATGGCGGACAAAGGGAGGGCTCGAGGAGGGATGTGGAGGGGGCTCGTCGACTGTGCTCTGTTGACCGACGATCCTTGCTGTCGGGATGGGGAAGCCGTGGGTCGAGGAGGTCGCTCTTGCGTTGTCTGCGCGTTGAGTGCGATGAGCGACGAGCGTGGAGGTGGTCGTGGTGGTGGTGATGGTCTTTGTCGACGTGTGTTGGCGTGGGTGAGCGGTTTGATCGCGAGCACCAAAAAAAGCAGGGGCCAAGCAGGGGTGTTGGCTGGCTCGGCGGCGTTGGGCGTGCGTGCGTACAGGCGTTTGTGGAAATTTGAACTGGCAACCGGCCCGCCAGGCAGGCTGCCACCTAGCCTGCTAGCCCGCTGGCCTCCCGCTGCGCCCGCGTCGTGTGCGCCAATCCAACGCCCGCCTTTCCGCATCTTTGAATTGCGAGTCAAGGGATTCTGTATTGCCGGTGGGGGGCACCCTCGAAATTTGAAGTTGGCCGCTCGACCCTGCCCCGAGCTGGAAGGGCGCCGAATTCAAATCCAGGGCCCGCCCCTGATTTCGAAGCGACAGAAGCCAGCTCGCTCAGTTTGGAAGGCCTGCTGGCCTGCCAAGTCGCCGGACTTCAAGGGTCGCCCGCCGCGGGAGGGGCCCGGGAGGGAGCCGCTGGCCTGCGATCCAGAGGGAACCAAGGCTCAAGCAAGCAAGCAACCAAGGCAGGCTGGGCAGGCTACGCTGTGGCTGTGCGAGACGAGGCGAACACAGAGATGACGACGAAGACAACGACGACAGGCAGCGCGCCACACCTCAGCAGCGAGGCAGGGCAGCCTTCGGAAGATGTCCTAGCGTTGCTCCGCATGACGGCAAAGCACCTCGGCGATTCAGGAACGCCATCGTCGTTGGTTCTGAAAAGGACACGAGCGTCGCCGTTGTCGCTGCTGCATCAGCCTGGCCGGCCGGCCTCTGACACTTCAGTACGCAGCGCGGACCACGTACACAGATCGCAAGCTCAAGCCTGCAAGATGACCTCGTGTGAATAGCGGGCGAGACGCCATCGCCAGCATCTCTTCGGCGTTTCAAGCAGCAGTCCACAGAAGGGCTGGCGTCTTTGTCAAGCCGACACACGATCCAGCAAGCAGCGATGAAATCATCTTGTCGGCAGAGGCCTGCGATGCGTGGCGTGCCCGTCCTCGGAGCCGACGTATCGCCCCAGGAAGACCATTGGGCTCGGTCCCGACCACATTCGGCTCGCCCGTGGCGTCCGACGCTGGCCAACGCTCTCTGTCAGGCGGCCGAGTCCGGACGGCAGTCTCCGTGCCGGCCCGACGGTGCGCTCTCGATGACGGGAAACCTTCGTGCCCCGCTTTTCGACTGAATATCGCGCCTCTTTTTTTCATCCTCTTCCCTGCTGAGCAGCGGGCCTGCTGTGACCTTCTTCTCTCTTCAAAGCCCGTGTTGGTCTCGGATTCCGTACATGCCGCTTCTCGCTCTCCGATGCTCGTAGGTTCGCTCGGACTGCTTGATGCCAGCTATGGTGATGGAGTCCGCTTCGATGGCCGAGCAGGCTCTCTGCCGCGCTACGAAGCCAGGTCGGTGCCGCACAGCTCGTGCCCGCCGTCCTTGCCCGGATCGCTTTCCGACAGTCCGCGGCGTGCATCGAAGCTCCGGAGGAGGTGAAGGTCCACGGATGTCTAGTGCAAGGTACAAAGCACACCACCACCATCGTCAAGGAGCGATGAAACGGACAAACAGATCGGCGCCCAGCGACGGCAAAGCTAGGCATGTCTATGGCTTAGCCACCGGACCGCAGCGGCGTGTCTTGCTCGGGTTTCGGATCTCGAGGCAGTGGCGGCCAGGCCCTTGCAGGGGCCTCGAGGCAGACTAGTCCGACGATCCTCGACCTCGCCTGGACACACGACGACCAGGTAAACCACCCGACGCCGCCGAACACCGCTGACGATACCTGGTGGTTTCCACAGCTGGGATGACAAAGAGGACAATCTATCGCCGGTCGATCCTTGCTCCGAGGGCTCTCATCCACGTCAGGGCTTGACGCGCAAGAAGGGGTTCGGGGGCAAGAGGGAGGGACTGACCCTCTAGCCGCTGTGGAATGTTGCCCTTGCATGGCATGTCGCGCCGGCACCGAGTGGCGGTAGTCGAGACGCGCGGCACCCTCCCGATCAAGTCGCCCCTCATCATCAACGGGCAGCATCGTCTGCTCCTCGTAAGCAGAGAGGATCGGTTCCGATCCGGCTCATAGACTCGGCCACTGTTGGACGAGAAGCAACTTGTTTTCCGCCAGTGATGCCTAGGAATCATTTGATGGTCGCTGTGCGGGTCGGCGCTGCTCGCTCTGGCAACATGACTCGCCGGCTCGGACCTAGCCTTCGTCCGACTGTGTGCTGGATCGGGCCCCGCTCTGCTCATAGTACGCAGCAGACACGGCAACGCCCGGATGGCAGCGCCCGACGCCTCGCCGGCGAACCAGTCTCGTCAAGCCAGACAAACGCCACTCTGACTCTGTCGGGATGGAGATGAACTGCTCTTCAGCGGCTTGGTCGAGAGCCAGGGCGAGAGCGACGGGCGATCCAGGTCTTGACCCTTCCCCGCGTCCGCCCGGTGCCGACACCTTGTATAGTCTCGGGACCGACGATCGTCTCGTTGAGCTCTGTGGCTCACGGTGAAACATGAATGAAAGGACCGTTAGACTCCGACCGACGATACGGAAGCTTGGAAGGTCAAGAGGCATGTGCGGCGGGCAGGCCTGGCCGTCAGCTCGTCGCGCGAACGCAAGGCCGCGTGCTGCCTCCGCTTGCTTCCGCCAAGGTCGGGGCTACTGTTGGCCGTCGCTGCCATCTGTCGGAGGATGAGGTGAAGGGCTGGCTGGGCGCAGCGATCGTCAGCAGGGCAGAGCCGCTGGGCGCTCCTCCTCGCTGAGCGACACATATGGGTTGTGGCGGCGGCTACATGTGCTGAGTGCGAATAGATTGTCTCGGATGAAAGCTTCCAACGCCGTCGGACCTTGTATGTCTTCGTATACATACGTACGTGCTGATCGGGTCGGAAGAGGAGCTGGGTGGTGCCGAACAGAGCCGCGAGCTTGCTGGACCGTGCCGCCCGCTTTCCCTCGCTGCGATCCCGAATCTTGTACAGAAGCTTGGTGAGGTGCTTGCCACATCATGGCTTGGTCGAAAGGACGAGTCCATGGCACCGATCGCGATGCTCGAGGTTGTACATACCGAGTCTGGCCAGGCGTCGCGGGACCGAGACGGAGGCAAAGATGCACACCTGGAGCGAGGACGGGGACGGGAGCGAGCGGCTCAAAGGGAAGGCGGGGAGCGGCAACGCCACACTCGACGTCGGAGCTGGAAAGGAATGCGGAGATCCTTGCAGTGTTTGGTTGTAAGCGAAAGGTGCCTGCGTTGCGTCCGGCCGCCCGTTTGACACCCCGCGAACCAGTCGACCAGCGCAGCGGATCCCCTCCTCGCCTCTTGCAACCGCGGGCTCAGCTCTGGCCCATCCTACCGCGGCGCCCCTTTGCCGCCGCCCCATCACCCGTGCTGCTTTGCCCACGGAGTGTCGGCACCGTGCATGTACCACAACCTGAGTCTCTCTGAAAGCTCATGAAGGTATTCAACCGAAGCCTACACGCAGAAAGACACAGGCTTGCTCAGGGACACGGCGCGCTCCTTCCAAGATTGTCATGCCTTGTACTCCCCCGCTGGCTGGCCTTAGACGAGAGGCCAAAGTGGAACATGATCGACGATATGGTCTTACGTGTTCGTCCCCACCCCAGCCCGCCAGCCCTCGACCTGGTCTGGCCACATCGCGTACGTACACTCAGCCAACGCCGCCGTTGACGAGGATATGCCATGAAAGCTCGTCCTCGCGTCGCGCCGGATCGAGGCAGAGAAGACCAACAAGCTCTCGTTCGGCTACATGTATGGCCACGGTGCCGACCCCGCCCGACTTGGACCGTCGTCGTCGCCATCGTTGCGCGCGGTGCCTAGTCTGCCGTTCGCCTCTCTATGCCCATCGAACCTCTGCCTCGCTTCTCCCGACAAGCGATCGAAACCCATGCGTACCTGACCGCTCTCCACAGAAAGCTCCGTCTCGGTGAGAGCCGGACCGTCGCGCTCCTGCCAGCCAGCTTGCCTCAGGTCCAGGTGAGTAGGTACCGGTTTCTATGTGGCGTCCGGCGTGAGCTCCAAGCCGAGTGGCTGACACCGTGCGAACAGTTTGAGACTTCGTATCCCGGCGAGCCGAGAGCTTATCGTCGTCGCGGTCGCCGTCGCCGGCAAGACGTCGTAGGTACAGTAGGTATCGGTACCGCCGCTGCGAGCGAAGCGGCTCTGCCATCTTCGCTCTTCGAGCCGGTCTTTGTGCAGGGTTCGTGGGCGCCGAGTCGAGGCGATGCCAAGAGACGAGCTGAGGTGCGGTCGTCGTCGTCGGTCGCAGCCGCAAGTCAACCGCGCATCAGTCGCCCAGCGCCGAGACTCCCTCACGGTCCCGCTGACTGTCATAGGACGACATTCTCCGTTGTACGGATGCAGCGACGGGACG